TACAACAGATGAGATGATCACATAATATAATGTGTTATACACGAATTATTTGCAAAAACAGAATTCACAAATATGTAAAATCGCGAAATTAACATAACAGAATTTTTGCATGCATCACTACCAAATTTAAAATGCCCCAATATTTTTTCCAAAATTTCAATAAGTTTTATAAAAAAAATGCTAAAAACTTTTATAAAAATGTTCCAAAATTTTTATAACATGCCCGAATATTTTTTTAAAATTCCCAACAATTTGTACCAGATGCCCAATGTTTCTACCAATTGGCCAACAATTTTTATAAAAATGTCCCAAATTATTTGTGCAAGTGCAATTTTTATCTAAATTGTAATTAATTATGAAACTGGGTCACCCAACGCACTTTAAAATTGCAATTTGACCATCACTCTTAATTTTTTTGAGGATGATTAGATTAGATGATGTGCAGCGAATGAATAACCTGTCTCATTCTTATCACAAACCGCACGTGATTACCACAAAGGAAGAAGAAGATGCCATCAAAGTACATCATCACAAAGTGACTACACCGCATCACAATAAAATGACCAGAGGGGGGATATGTATTTATTTTCAAGTTTTTCATTTAATAACGACAGAGGGTCAAACTTTGTCGGTTTGTTCCCTAACTCGTATGGATTTCAAATATTTCTAGGTTATCAAACATAAGTATCTGTGTTATTATTCGAAAAATATTGAAATGCTTTACATAATTAAAAAAATACGTATTTTTGTAAATATTTCATGGGTACGAGTCGATTTTTGCTCAAGAAATTGGACTACAAAAAATCCAGAGCCAATCCAGAAATCCCGAGTAATTTCAAGAATGCCAATTTTGTGAAAATTATTATTTCTGTTTTTTTTAACAAAAATTAATATTTCGTGAATTTGTAAATTTTGTTGTTCGTAAAGATTTTGGCGTTTTGTCATAAATATAAAATACACATTTTAGGGATTTCTCATAAATACATATCCACCCTCTGATCATGACCACATCGCACCACAATACCTAAAATGACATGTAAATGGGTGGGGGAACATTTCTCATTAGTGATTGGGTCTAAGAGGTGATGATGACTATGTAACATGTGCAAACATATTTCGCAATTTTTCAATTTCGCACAGCATCCGCTTCTGGCCCACGTACTTTTTACGCATTTGTAAAATAAGGTGCCGTTTCATTAAGTATTTATTTATTTAGTAATGGGACATGTTCTGATTAGATCATCAAGGATGAATGAAATGCGTTTTATTGACGTAATAATTCGACCTAAATGGGCGAATAAATTTGTAATAGATTTAGAATTTGGCAAAATTACAGCTGTAATTGTCTGGAAACTTTGGTAATAAAAACTCCAAAATTTCAATCACTTTAAACTTTCTTGTTGACATATTTAGAGGAATCACTTAATTAATTTACATATTTCTTGTCAAATATGAGACTTGGGTTCGACAGTTAAGGGTGCGTATATATTTCGCAATTTTTCAATTTCGCACAGCATCCGCTTCTGGCCCACGTACTTTTTACGCATTTGCAAAATATGGCGTTTCATTAAGTACTTATTTATTTCATGTTTTGATCATATCATCGACAATGAAATGCGTTTTATTACGTCAAATCGACCTAAAAGGACCGATGAATTCGTGTTTGACAACATTTTAACTGTAGTTTTCTGGAAATTTTGGCAATAAAATCTCCATCGAAATTTTCATTAATTTCGAATTACGGAATCTTATTGACATGAAGAATCACTTCATTTACATATTTCTACATATTCTGGTGAAGTTGGATATCATTCGATAGTTAAGATCTACTGATTAATTAATAAATCAGCAAGTATACTTAAAATCATAACTTACAAAAGAAAAGAAGGATCTTCAATTAATTGGCAAATTATAAATTAATGAGTTAGTTAATGCATGTATTAATCCTTAAAAATCAACTCTATGCACTTGCATATTTTCTGATTTTTTGCTCTCATTTAGCAAATATTTCCCAGATCTTTCAACAGACCAAGATTTCAATGCACTCAAAATAAGGTAGTAATGAATCATTACCATGCAGAATCACTATGTGTCTCTACCACGTCGGTTACGATTTGTCGTAGAGATGGTAATAATAAGTTCAGGGAAATTCAAATTTAATACATAATGGTATTCACTTCCTTAATATTTGGTAATAAATTTGAATTTCCCTGAAGTTATTATTACCATTTCTACGACAAATCGTAACCGACGTGGTAGAGACACATAGTGATTCCGCATGGTAATCATTCATTACTACCTTATTTTGAGTGTGCAATTTGTAACATGATGAATTTAAATAGAATAAAAAAACGTGCTTGAACTGCAATTCTAAGAATTTCAACGAATTACACATGCATGCTTATCTTTCAGCAGTTGCATCTCATTTCTTCTTCCTAAAGGTAATTACGTATTATGCATTAAATTGCATTATCAAAGTCCCTAATTTTTATTCATCGCTATTTAAATTCCACACGTGCCGTGAGTGTTAATCCAACCAAACTGGTATTATAAGTAAGAAGTAGAAATATGATGCAAATATGATACAAATATGATGTTCGCCTAATTTAATTATGATGTATCTGGTTATTAGATATATTTGAACACCTATTTTTTATTGATCTGGTCCAAAATTGGAACGGTGGAAAAAAATGGAAGAACAATATTTCATAATTTATGTATTGTGATCTAATTTTCTGAGAATTAATTTGTTCCTTAATTAGCAACACACATTTTCCACGTTGCATTATTTGCATAGTCCTGCAAGTACACTGAGCTGACCACTTCTCAGAAATTGGAACATTTACATACACAATTCGACAACATTTGGATTCTTATTGACCAAGATGACCATTTGAAAAGCAAGTAAACAATAGGTAGACCTCATTTAAATAATAACGTGATAATGAAAAAATGCAGGGCAAATAAGTCGTAAAAAGTTGGGTGTCGACTCTACGAAAGGTTTTTTTTTTAAAAATATGTACGAAAATTCAGAAAAAATACAACGTTAAAATAAAATACGTACCCAAGCGTTCATTCATTTTGAATAAATATTTTAATTGTTTTATCCTTTACAAAATTGATGAATATTAATCAATCAGTAATTCAATTTGCGATTTTATGCAATTTTGACCATTAAATTAAAAGTCATCTTTATCGTCAAGAATTAGTGTAATCACGTCAAATTCAATTTTATACAGTTTTTAAATGCATGCAATTTTATGCAGTTTTTAAATGCATGCAATTTTATGCAGTTTTTATATATATGCAATTTCATGCAGTTTTTATATGTACCATTTTTATATGCAATTTTATGCCGTTTTTAAAATTCTGTACAATTTTTCAAATTAAAAGTCATCTTCATCGTCAAGAATTAATTTAATGAATTCAAATTTATGCAAATTTGTGCGATTTTACAAAATTTTTTGCAATTTTGTTAATTAAAACTCATCTTCATCGTCCTTCTCTTCTCCTTTCATCTTCAGCGCCGTCCCCTTTCTCCGAAACCGGCTTTTTCTACTTGTTAGCTTTTGGCTTTGTCGCCGACGCCATGGCGCCCGCAATTTTTGTTTTCGCTCCTTCTCCTCCTCCCTTGATTAAGCCCGCCAATCCGGCTTTGGCAGGGGGAGTGATTCGGTTGGGGAGGTTATACCCCTCCCTCGGCGGGAGAAATTTTGGGGGCCTGAAGAAGGTCGCCTAAGGAAAATTAGAACATGCATGCATACAAATTAAGCTAACGATGCGATGGTGTGAAGTGTGACCCTCCGATTTGGATGAAATTTCGAAATTATGTGGTCCATGTCAATACAACCAACGTTTCCTCAGGCAGTTTGTGCGATGGTCAGAATTTGGCAATATATTTGAGGTTAAAGTTGAAAAATGTGCAATTTTTAGCACGGGAAGAGAATAGAAGTTGAGTTTGCTTCCTCCACCTGGTAAAAATCGCCCGTTTTTCTACTTTAACCTCAAATATTTTGGCAAATTCTGACCATCGCACAAACTGCCTGAAGAAACGCTGGTTGTATTGACATGGACCACATAATTTCGAAATTTCATCTAAATCGGAGGGTTACATTTCACACGATCGCATTGTAAGTTGGATTATCTTTTACTTTGACTCATCGCCAAAATTAGCACATTTTTAATCTTTTCTTTCTCCTCTCTTGGAATATATTTTAAAATTCTGGGCAACAAATTTGCCGTCAGTGGGTTGATGGATGGATGGCGCTGAGTTTTATTGAGCCAGTGTTCCAATACTTCTGAAGGCTTCTTAAACTTCAGTTCACCTCCGCTGAAAAGGGTCAAAATCTGAAATGTATATTTTTTTTAATAGCAACGACCTGCTCAAGAAATTTGTGGTTCAGAATTTAAAAATAAATTCTCCCAGTCGGGACGAAATGGTCAAAAATGTGATGATTTTGACACGATTTTAGTGATTTGTCATCGTGTATTTCTTGCAGGTCAAAATGCAAGAAACCACTTTCTCCCCGTTGTAGGTTTCCTTTCCTGGACCAAAAATACAATGAAGATTTTCACACAATGAGCATTGTTTTTAGTTGTATTTAGTTGTATTTTTGGAAACTGTGTTCAAAAATCCTTACACTAAAATTGTGGGTCCAATAAATATGTGCATACATATGTGTATAATATATTGAAAGGTATTGTGGCCTACGAAATTGTTTCACATTTAAGGGACAATTTTCCAGGATTAATTTTTAAATAATCCTAAGTTATAAACATGACTACCTTTCTAAGAGATCCATTAAGATAAAGATTTTAAGGTTACTCAAAGTCTGGCCTGTTCAGGAATGCAATACAATTTACATGTAAGAAAGTAATTAGTTTTCATGGGTACATGTGACAAAAAAGGTTCATTGCTTAAAAAAGGTAGGGCCTTATAGATAAATATAATTCGATAAAGGTTCATGTCCAAAACTTTGGATCGCCAGTCGTCAACCGAGCATCGGACGCAACTGATCTTGCCTTGAAACTCTTTAAAATCCATCGAAACTCGCATTAAAATTCATTGCCTCGATAGTTTTTTGGAGTGTATAAAATTCTAAAACAATGGACGCTGACGGCCGAAAGCTTTTACGCTTTTACCAAGAAAGCTTGCGTACCATGACAGAAGGTAAACTTACAAACTCATTATTTTCCTCAATTCGGAGTCAAGTTTTTTTTAAAAGAAATTTATACCAATAATTCGTTTTCTATTTAACAAATTTTCAAAGTTGACCGTCACAACGACGGGTTTTTTGTTGGATTTCAAATTATCCAATTTGTAATTATTTTTTAGAAATTGATACACGAATTTATCCGACATCGGTCCAACTGCTTAAAATTTGTGGCTTTATGTGTGTTCCTTTCAGCTCAATTATTGAACGAACAAAGGACCCTTATACAAGAAGAAAGTAGTGTCTATGGTTGGTTTGAAGAGTGTAGAAAATGGAAGGACACGGAAAATTTAAGGATCTCGGAGAAGAGAAGCATGGTGGAGGATGGACTCAAGAACGTTCGAAATTATGGTGTCGCCGCACATAATCCTGCACCTTCCCAGGCTTCATTTTCAGTTGGGAAAGGTGGTAAATTCAGAAGTTGCTCTGGTCCCTCAAAGAGCGGGAGAGGATCCTTATCTCGACAGGAATTTGATGTCCTCAGTCCCCTCATGGGTTCCTCGGCGAGTGATGGTTCCAGGCCACCTCCTCCTCCGTTTCATGGGGGCGTTATGTATGCTGGAGGACCCAGCCACGCGTCCTATCATCCAACGTCCAGCTCGGGACGGATTGGAGGAGGACATTTTGGTAAGTTGTCAAAATGAAGCTTGTAAAATGCAATTTTATTCAAATTTGTGCAATTTTGTGCAATTTTGCCAATTAAAAGTCATCATCCTCCTCCTCGTCCTTATCCTCGGCACTGTTCCCCTTCTCCTAGATCGGCATTCTTCTTTTGACTTTCTCACTGACGCCAAAGACGCCGATGCCACGTTACCTGCAGGTTTTTTATTTGTCGCTGGTCCCCAACACCTCCTCCCTTAAATCCGGCCGCTTTTTACGTTTTTTTACCTCCACCAGACTTTTTGTCTGCTGTCTCGTCCAAATCGAGATATTCTGGGTCAAGAATTCCCTTAATTTGATGAGATAAGAACCCGACTTAATAATGTACAGGTGCAGAATCCAATGGACAGATCCCTAGCGTTGGTGGGTACGGTTTTCTTGGGGGCAATGCTCCAGTTTACACTCCTGGACAGGGATTGCAGGGGGCACAACCGAACCGGGGTCCATCTGACTTGTACAATAATTTGCGTAAGAAAGCTTGTCTAAGGCTACCAATTTAAATTAATAATTAGCCGCATTTACAATTAGTTTTGCGTTGACGGTGAATTTGAATGTTATTTTTGTCTACAGCGTGGCTCAACTCTCCAGAGATAAAAAACACAGGAAGTCAGAATGATAACCGATCTACTACAATCTTCATCAGGTTATAATTAATTTAATTTATTACTTAAGTCGTCTCATGTTCCTTTCTTTACCTGCTTTTACTGCTTTTTTTATCGCAAGTCCTCCAAGCTTGGTGACACCGCAACTTCGAGATACTGATGACGTTACCCTACCACCACCTTACTCCCCCATTCTACCAGACATTAAGAGAGATAACGACAACGCATAACATTCACAACTGGAATGTTTATCGGTCCAATCGATTGTGGGGACACGCATTCACTCATTCCTGCTCAAAAAGACTTTTTTATTCAAAGTTGAGTCATCCCGATTTCTAACTGAACTCACAATGGAGGTCTCCCAACGTATGCTCACAGATTTGGACCAAAGTAGCGTCAATCGATCACAAATAAAATTAGTATGAAATTTTGCAAATGGCACTATCTGCCAATATTCATGTTTAGCGGAGATATTTGCATCAAAAGAAGAGAAAATGCACTCCCAAGGCTGGAAAATTCTTCATTTTCCAAATTTGCCACTTTTTCTATTTCTTTTTACATTTTCCCACTTTTTATGCAAATATCTCCGCTAAACCTGTGCATTGGCAGATAGTTCCATTTGCAAATTTCATACTAATTATATTCGTGATCGATTGACACTAGTTTGGTCCGAATCTGTGAGCATACGTTGGGAGACCTCCATTGTCAGTAATTTTTTCCAAATTAATTTCATTTCACTTTCATCTAACTTCATTTCTTACTTCGTCCCATGTATTAAGCATAGGGTGAAAGATGAAAAGAGTGAGAAATCATTTCCTAAATAGTGATTCATCTGAAACAATGGAATATGTTAATATTTTGCATTAATTGGTAAATCTTAATGTACAGTTCCTTATTTTCAGCAAATAACTCCAACTTTTAACTATACTTTTGCGTATTTTCTGATTTTATTTTGCTCCTATTTTGCAAATCTTTCCACAGTCCAAGATATTAATGCAATTTGTAAAATGATTAATCTACATGGAATAAATAAATGTGCTTGAAACGCAATTCCAAGAATTACACATGCACAATATGTATCTTTCAGTTGCATTGCATCTCATTTCTTCTTCCATTATCCATTCCATTGCATTACCAAAGTCCCTAATTTATCAAAAGTCATTCAAATTCTACACGTGGCCTCAAACCAAACTGGTATTATACATAAGAAGCAGACAACGCCACGTGAATATGATGGTCACATAATTAGGATGCAATTACTACATTTCAATATCTATTTTTTATTAATCTTGTCCACAATTGTGCAAGGGTGAAAAAATTGGAAGAAAAATAATTCATAATTTATGTATTGTGATCTAATCTTCTGAGAATCTGTTCCTTAATTAGCAATTTTTCACGTGGCTATTTCCGTTTAATCGTCCTTCATACTGCAAATTAGTGACCAAACTGACCACTTCTCAGAAATTGAATCATTTACACAATTCGACTGCATTTGCACTATTACACTTTCCCCAAAATAGATGAATATTACCAATTTAATTCCCGTTTTTTTACCGGGTTTTTACCCCCATCCGACTTTTTTTCTGTAGTCTCGTCCAAATCGAGATCTTTCGGGTCAGGAATTCAGTTCCGATCAAGAATTAATTAAATATTTTTATTCATTATTGAAAGTCGGCTTAATCCTCAGGAATTAATTTATTATTGTTATTAATAAGTATAATTTTCTGCAATTTTTCTGCAATTTTTCTGCAATTTTGTGCAATTTTTATGCAATTTTGTGCAATTTTTGCTAATTAAAAGTCATCTTCATCGTCTTCCTCGTCCTCGTCCTCGGCGCTGTCCCCTTTCTCCGAGACCGGCTTCTTCTTTTTGTTAACTTTTGGTTTTGTCGCTGACACCGATGACGCCACGGCGCCTGCAGGTTTTGTCTTTGTCGCTGCACCATTTGTTCCTGCCCCGCCCTTGATTAAACCCGTTAATCCTGCCGCTCCCGGTTTTTTCAAGGGTTTCTTACCCCCACCCGACTTTTTTTCGGTCGTCTCGTCCAAATCGAGATCTTCCGTGTCAGGAATTCCCATAATTTGGTTGTAAGTTCCGATCAGGTCTTCCGCCACGTCGTCCGGCGCGATGCCGAAGGCGCCGTGAAAGACGGAATGCGGACTTCCGGTTAAAACCCCTTTGACAATTTTGTTGACGCCGTGAACAACGCGAGGAATGTAGCCGTACGGCCCGTCCGTGTCGATGTCGTCTTCATCGGCGATTTGGCGGGGGGCGGGATTCGGTTTGGGGGGGTTTTGACCCCCTTCGGGGGGAGGAATGTTGGCGGCGTGGGTGAGGGAGAAGGTGGTCTAAGGAAATAATGCATGAAAAAATTTGCATAAAAAATAAAAATGTGCATAAAGATTAAGATAAGCTGAATTATCTTTTCAACGAAGGACTGGATTACTCATCACCAAAAGTGTCAAAACCAGCACATTTTGATCATTTCTCGGCTCTGGGAACATATTTTAAAATTCTGGACGACAAATTTGTGGTCAGTGAGTTGATTAATGGAATGACGCCGAGTTTTTTGAGCCAGTTTCGATGAGTTCTAATTTTTCTGAAGGCTTCCTAAACTTGAGATCTCCTCCGCCAAAAAGTGTCAAAATTTGAGTACATTTTTTTTTTAATTGGGAACTCCCTGCTCTACAAATTTGTCGTCCAGAATCTTAAAATAAGTTCCCAGAGCGGAGAAATGATTAAAAATGTGCTGAGAAACGATAAGGTTAGAAATGCATTCACACATTTAATCATTTCTCACTTCTGGGAATTTATTTTAAAATTCCGGACGACAAATTGTTGAGCAGGTCGATTTTAAAATTTACACTCCAGATTTTGGCACTTTATGAATGAGGAGATATCAAGTTTAAGAAACCTTCAGAAAAATTAGAACTCACCAAAATTGGCTGAAAAACCTTATCGCCATTCCATTAATCAACTCTCCGACTATAAATTTCTCTTCCACAATTTTAAAATAAATTCCCAGAGGGGGGAAATGAAATAAATAAATAAAAATGTGTTGGTTTTGACTTCAGTGGTGATAAATTATCGAGTCATGCGTTAAGATAAGCAGGGTTATCTATTTAATTCAGTTATCTACCTGTGCGACCACCAGGATGAAAAATAAGGGGACAAAGGGACGCATAATTAAACTGGTCAAATATATTTTTCAGTGTTAATTGCCCTCAAATAAATGAGCGACTGATTCACTGGTCACGAATTATTGGACCGTATTGGATCGTAATTTAGGCGTGTCCCACTTTCATGGATTGATTTATTCATGACAAAACGGCAAAAATTCGTATGTATAACGTGACCTGGATTGGATTCGGTGCAGATTTTGCTTGAATTATTCATGAATGATGTCCAGCAGATTCCGACTTGTTGAGGTTAACTAATGAGGTCAATTATTTAGCCGAGACGAGTTAACAGGAATTTAGATTAATTAATTTCTAATTAATTGTTCCGTTTTATGTATTATTCGCTATGACTGGTTTATCTACTGTATAATCTACTCTTCAGCCGATATTAATAGTCTCAATTCCTGTGAAATTATTCTGAGAGGTTATTTGGCTTTTTAAAAATAATATCAATTATCTGCCAGGAAACCTCTCAGATTTTTTTCAGACTATTAATATCGGCTGAACAGTAGTTATGGTTGCACACAAATATTCGAAACAGTAAGTAAATTATGGTAAAAGGGTAATAAATGTATTTTTTTCGTAAGTCAAAATTTACTGGTCAAAATTTCATGAATTAATTTCATACTAATTTTGGAATAAGTATGTACTTTCATGCTAAATGTTACGTTAACCAAAAGACTACACGAATGACCAGAAATTGGACGACGACCAATTTTGATGCTTAAAACAGCTAGATACACACATAATTGCAAAATGACTACGAAATCGAACAAATTAAAAAAGTTATAATCATGTCAAAATTTATTGGAGAAAAGTTCATAAATTTAATTTAAATATTAATTTAACTTACCAAAAATATATTAAAACCTTCTCATGAAAAATTTGGTCTCGACAATTATTTCTGCTGGGAAGAATACCTATTTTACTTTTATACCAAATTAAATTATAAAATGGTAATTAAATTGCATAAATTTTAAAAGTTATGTATTTATAATCTTGTCAAAATTTATTTGGGAAAATTTTATAAATCACTTTAATACTAATTTATTAAAATATATTTATGAGAAATTTAACCATAATAATTGGAATACATAAGCTGCAGTAAAACCTATTTTAATTGTTTAATCCTGCTGATTTCCAATTAACTGGAAAATGGAGATTAAATCGCTCAAATTAAAAAAAAGATATAACTTGGTAAAAATTTACTGGGTAAAATTTCATAAATTAATTAAATACTATTTTTTTTAATATTTAAATCTCTTTATGAGACATTTTGGCTTAACGATTTCATCTTAATTATATACGGAAGATAGATTTTCAACAAATTATAAAGTGGCGATTAAATTGAACGAATTATAATCATGTAAAAATTTATTTGGGAAAATTTCATAAATAAATCTAATTACTAATATGTAAAAAAAATATTTAAATCTCATTACGAGAGATTTTATTATAATAATTCAATCAACCAGAATTCAAACCTATTTTAATTGTTTAATGCTGCTGATTTCAATAAATTGGAAAAAGGCGATTAAATCGGACAAATTAAAAAATCATGTCAAAATTTATTAACCAAAACTCCATAAATCCAATATTATTCAATTTAAAAAAATATTTTCGTAATTTTCTTTACTTGAAAACTGTGTCCATATGTTTATTTCTAAAAAAATTATTTGTGACACAATTCGAGAATAAATTAAAATTTTTAAATCTTCGTACTTATGCAATTTTATTGGTTAAAATTCCATAAATTAATTAAATTAAAATTTGCAAAATTTTTAGTAAATTTTATTTTCACTCGAAGTATCGTCCTCCCGACCTGACCACGGCGGGAACTTCTCTTCGTGCCGTGTCCATACCTGTTCAAAAATTTAGTTTTTATTCAAAAGTCAATCATCCCGATTTCTGCCTGAAGATTTTCATTCACATTCAGACATTTTCTTTCAAATTCATTTCATTTTACTTCATCTGACTTCAGTTCTTACTTCGCCCCATGTATTCAGCATAGGGAGAACAATGAATAGAGTGAAATATCCTTTCATTCACAGTCATTCATCTGAAGTGACTGAATCCTTCACTCATTTTCATTCAGATCACAGGAAATTAATTTTCATTCACCATCATAATCAGTCGCATGAATGAAAGTGAACAGGTATGGCCGTGTCAGGTCAGTTTCAGCTTCAGACTAGAAATCCTTCCCAATCACATATCTATTTCAAATATATAATCAGCTAGTTTTATAACAAATTGCATAATGGCGATGTAGTCGTACACATTAAAAAAATTTAATCATGTCAAAATTATTTATTTGACAAATTATTTTTCATAAATTAATGTAATGCCTAGTTTAAAAATGTTGACAAACTTCTCTATGAATAATTTTACCTTAATAATTTGACAACCACGCGGAGATTGTAGAAGCATTTAATACAAAAAAAATTAAAAATTACGATTAAATCGCACAAATTTGAAAAAAATATGACAAGGTTAAAATTTATTTGGCAAATCGCATAAATTAAGTTTAATGCTAATTTTATGAAATAATTTTTAAACCTCTTGGTGAGAAATTTTGACTTAATAATTGACCCGACGGAGTTGACGACCTGTTTTAATAACAAGATTCAGCTATATGCACTATAAATTTCAAAATGACGATTAAATCGCGCAAATTTAGGAATATCTAATTATGTCAAAATTTATTTGTCAAAATTTCATAAATTTTGATAGCTGATTTTGAAAGATTAGATTTAGATTAGAATTAGAATTTATATTAGATTTTGAAAGCTGTTTATCTCCGTCATCCGTTGGTTTTTTAAAATGAAGATTTTATTGCATCTAAAAATCGATAATTTTCGGGTTTGCAAAATTCGGAGGTTAGAATTTCGATTTTTTTCTTCCAATTATGTGATTTAATCGGACAAATAAAAAGAATCGTTCCAAAATTTATGGGGCAAAATTGCATAAATTAATTCAAAACGAACTTTATAAAACATGTATTTAAATCTCTTCATGAGAAATTTTATCAACAAGGAATAAAGAAAAACACCTGTGATAATTATGTAAATGAGGCAGCTAGATTTACACAAATTGAAAACATTACAATCGTGTCAATATTGAGTAGTAAAAATTTCATAAACTAATTTCAAAAAATACTGAAATCTAGTCTATTTATAACAAAATTTTATCTTACTGATTACCACAACCAAATTCAAGACCTGTTTCAATCGTAAATTAGAAAATTTAATTTAGAAAATATTTTTAAATCTCTTTATGAGAAATTTTAACTTATTTAACAAATGCCCCGACCGTATTGAAGACCTTTTCCAATACTATTTATCGGTTAAATGCACTGCAAATTGCAAAATGGGGATTATTTATAATCGTGTCAAAATTTATTGATTAAAATTTCATTAATTAATTTAATATATACTAACTTTAAAAAATATTTGCGTATATATCTGTATATCTTCATGAGAAATTTAATCAAAATATGTAATTGCGTATACCAAGAGGAAGACCTATTTTGATTTTACATGACTAGATATACAACAAGTTGTAAAATGGCGATTAAATTAAACAAATATTAAATTATAATCATGGCAAAATTTATTAGCCAAAATTTCATAAATTAATCGATTTATGTGTACCATTTTCATTTTATCTTATTAGAAAAACTATGTAAACTATGTAAGTACATTTTACACCTTTTTAATTTCGTAATAATGCTAGATTTTTAACAAAATGCAAAATGACGAGTAAGTTACATAATTTTAACAAATTTCCGTACAAGTTTTCATTTAATTGTCTTCATAATTTTACTTAAAAATGGTGTCAATTTGTTCACGTGTAAAAAACCAAAATTTTTAACAATGCGAGATGACGAATAAATTAAAATTCTGAAATCCTCAGAATCAAAAAGTTTTATTGGTCACAATTCCAAAATTATCTAATTTAAAACGAATTCTCATTATACTTTTACTTTTGAAGAAATGTCAATTATGCTTAAATTAATATAACAGAATAAATTAAAAATGTTAACATTGTCATAATTTTATTGGTCAAAATTTCATAAATTAATTAAATTAGAGTTTTCAAAATTTGTATGAAAATTTCTTTTCATTAGAAGAATCGTCGCCCCATTCTTCGTCCCGACCTGACCACGGCGGGAACTTCTCTTCGCGCCGTGTCCGTTTCAGACTCTGACTCGGTGTCGGTACCGTCTTCGTCCTCGTCCACGCTTCCCGCTGTGGTCACCACGACTGCTGCTTGTGTGGCTTGTGACGCTGTACCGTTTCCCGCCAAAACGACGACGGGTTTAACGGTCGTGGTAGTCGGAACGGTAAGAACGGTCGTTTTGGGCGGGGGGATTCCCACGACTTGATTGTAAACCGAGTCAATCGCGTAACTTACGTTTTTCGGGGCGAAACTGGTCGATCCTGGAGAAAAGTAAATAAAAAGTGGAATAAATTTCTTAAATTCTGTTATCTAAGACTTACTGTAAAGAAATCTGGTTCAAATTTATCGAAAAAGTATGTTTTAAAAAAATATTTACGGTGAAAAAGTGCTACAAATTTTTTTAAAATGATGTTTTTAAAAATTGTACTGTAAACAATATGATTTAAATTTCTTGAAAAACTATGTTTTCAGGATTTAATGTGAAAAATCTGGTTCACATTGTTTGAAAATCCATAATTTTGGAATAAACCTTCAAAAATTTGGGTAAAATTTCTTACAAAAACTATTTATGGTATAAAAAAGTTGGCTTAAATATCTAAAAAACAATGTTTTTGATATTTATTTTTAAAAATCTGGTTCTTTTTTCAAAAATTATGTATGTTTTGGCATTTATGTACTGTGAAAAATTTGGTTAAAATTTCTTGAAAAATTATGTTTTTTTTTTAATTTTACCGTGAAAAATCTCATTCAAATTTCCGGTAACGATCCCATTAAAAATTTTGGTCAATCCGGGAATGATCATAGGAATGTATGGCGTCGTGCTGGGGCCGTCGTCATCTTCATCTTCCTCCTGCCGACCTTGCCATTTTGGTTCTGGGTTACTTTTCCTGGTCAAAATTTCGAACGGGGGTGAAACTTGGTTCAGATCGTTTTCCACGGGTTTTATTTTTAAGATGAGAGTCTGTCAGAATAAAAATCAGAAAATTGTGAAAAAATTTGTACTGAAATACGAATTTATGTTAATTTACAAGGGTTGGATGGAATTTCAAAAAATTATGAAAAAATGTATTAATTTTTGTTCAGAGATGGGTAAAATGCTTGAAAATGCAGTGTTTTGAGCTAGGTCCTTCCCAGGGTTCGGATTTCTGGGGGTGTTACACCCACAAAAAGACGAAAATCTACGGGGACAAGGCAATATTCATACGAAAATATAGGTTTTATTGAGAAATTAACTTTTTATCGGTGTGAAAATATTTTTAAAAAATCGTGAAAACATTGTATTTTAACAGATAAAAAGTTAATTTCTTAACAAAACCTGCATTTTCGTACGATTTTTGCCTTCTCCACGTGGATTTTCGTCTTTTTGTGGGTGTAACACCCCCGGAAATCCAAACCCTGGGAAGAACGGAGCTCAAATTTTTTGACCAAAATTTTCATTAAAAATTTTCATTTGTTTTTAATAAAATTTTGAGATCATCCTATAACCAACTGGGATAGACATCCAGAATTGGTTTAGAAATATCATTAACACGGTCATGCATCCGATCTATCTATTTATTACTGTGAAGTATTCTAAATTTACGGCAAAATCCGAAACGGCGATGAAATCGCCAAATTTTTGTTATCACGTAAAAATTAACTGATTAGTCAATATTATTCCAAGAATACGAAATTAAAGAGGTATTTAATGAATTATGTATTATGAATTATGTAATTTATTGTAAAATATTATCGTCATTTTCAAAAAAGGTTCAAAAATGGGTAAAAAACGTATAAGAAAAGAACTCAACTTGCCTTATGATCTCGTATGGAATTTAAATATTTTTGTTTATTGAGTGATTTACAAAAAGTGCACGCTATTTTACCCACGTGTGAAAATTACCGAAATATAAACTTACTTCGGAATCACCTTCTTGTCGATATGCTTCCACGTAGTAGTTATTTTTATCTTCTGGAGGGGAACAATTTCCGAGGGAAATCTGCTCATAGAAATTTATCAGATAAGTAATTTCATATTCCTAACCATACCTGTTCACTTTCATTCATGTGACGGATCATGATAGAGAATAACAGTGAATGAAAATGAATTTCCCGTGACTTGAATGAAAATGAGTGAAAGATTCAGTCATTTCAGATGAATGACTGTGAATGAAAGGATTTCTCACTCTTTTCATTTTTCACCCTATGCTTAATACATGTGGCGAAGTAAGAAATGAAGTCAGATGAAGTGAAATGAAATGAGTTTGAAAAACAATGACTGAACGTGAATGAAAATCTTCCATCAGAAATCGGGATGACTGAATTTTAAATGAAAAAAGTTTTTTTGAACAGGTATGTTCCTAACTGATTATTTTTTTAAAATCTGATTTTATAATTTAATCAAACCTGAATTATGACCAAGATCAGGATAGAAATATGGATTCTCGTCATTTTCATGGATTTTATTTCGTGTATTATTTGCAAGAGATCTGAATGAACGGTGTGGACAGATTCGTATCAATTGATAAAAGAACTCAGAATGATTGTGGTTAATTAAATCAGGAAATATGGTACAAATTGTAATTAATCCAACGGTGGACTAGCATATCGACTAATTAATTAGTTAATTAGTTATCTAATTAGGATGGAGTTAAACAATGATGAGATGAATGGACCAGAAAATCCTGCCCGTTATTCTGGGACGGTTCGGATACAAATATATTGCTTATATTTGCATGGATGGATGGACTGCATTTTTGCATCTTATGAAAAAATACAAGTTTGTTTATTCTGAATAAACAAAACAAAACAAACCATTCAAAAAACAACCGGTTTGATTGTTTTTCGATGGTTTTTGATGGTTTGCAACAAAAACAAAACAAAACACAAAAATTTTGAAACAAAATTTTGAAACTTCCCTCAAATTCAACTTTGAAATAGTCAACTTGTTCAGCCGAATATCTAATCCAACATCTGTCAAATGAGTTTCTAAAATTGCATGTCCCTAAATAATTTAATCGTCGTTATCATCTTACAAATCCGATGTTTTTCCTCTTTTTTTGTTTTCAGTTTTTAGTTTTTTTAGTTTTTTTAGTTTTCTTATGCCGAAGTGCGGCCTTATGCATGACTCATTTTGAATGATGATTAAATATTCATTTAAGTAAATCTACACAAAATATATTTTTTTAATTTCGAGAAACTGATTGGTTTATTTTCATTTCATAACAATGAAATTTTAATTTGGTAGTGAAAATTGCCGAAATTTTCATCCTCATTAATTTGTCTACCCACTTGCCACCCGGAAAGGGGAGGAGGATCCAATATACGGATTTAATGGGCCATCCTCCGCTTGTCGATAATATCCGAAGTGCCTCAAACGATAAGTTCCCGCTTCCACGCCGGTTGGGATAATCCATCGCAGTTCGATTCGGCGTTGTAAGATGTTCCAGTAAAATCTGAAATTTTGAAACAACATAATAAAAATTCAAGTTTTAGTGGAAAAACGAGGAAAAATTGGCTTTATTTGTCAATATTTCGAATCCTATCTGCCATTCAAGACATGTGTAGAAAAAAATGAGAAATTTGTCACAATATTTTTGAAAAAATTAATGGTCACGGTTCAGCTGATGTTAATAATCTGAAAAAAAATCTGAAAGGTTTCCTGGCACATATTTCGTAATATTAAAAAAAATAAATAACCTCTCAGAAAATTTTCGAAAGGAATTGAAACTATTAATATTGGCTGCAAAATAGGTTGTTTTTTATCTGATTACTTAAACCAAACAAAATTTTACGAATTGTCAAAGCGCTACGAATCTACAAATGTATTTTGTAATTTATAAATTTTTCACATATCATTTTACCGACGCCAAAATTTACCAATTTTCATTTCAACAAACTTAACTTCACCCTTTAATTAATTTATTAAACAAAAGGTGACGTTGAAAAAGTAAGGTTCTGGAATTTCATTAAAATTGTTGTCATATTTGCGACATGTGCCGTTGGACACGTTTCGAAATGATAAAAATGTAAAAAGAAAAGCCTTTCGGCACAATTTTTTTTCGAAACAAAATAAGTTTCCGAATAATTTAGCAAACTCACAAAGTGTCAACGTCCGAATCCGTCCTGACAATGGTCCACGCTCCCGTGGCGTCATTCCGTTTCTCAACCGAGAGGAAAGATCCTCCTCGAAGGGGCGAATTTCTTGGAGAACCACCCGCAAAAACGGCGTCCACTTCGTCACCTGGTAAAAATTTGCAATTTTATGCAATAACTAGACGTTAATTTTTAAATATTTTATTTGTTGACGAGCAAACTTAAATTTTATAGATCATATGAATTGAAGTATTTATTTTTTTTACAAATTTTTATACATTTCTAGGTTTTCAAATATTTATAGAAATTTTCGATATTATTTTAAAAATGTAGGCATCTTTTACATATTTAGATTTTCAAAACAATTTCATGTTTTTTTCATATATTTCAACCATGCAAGACTAAATTATTTTGCTCAAGGAAATTGGATGGTTGAACCACATTTAAAAAAATTGTGGAAATGCATAGCTTTGTAGTCATTTTTTAGCAGATATTTTGAAAATATTAAAATACGTAAATCGTTTATATATTTTCAAAATCATTATCAAAAATTAAACCAAAAATATATATGTCAATGAAGCGATAGTTTTTTTGCTGAAGGAAATTGGGTCACAAAAACCCCATTAAAAAATTGTGAAAATTAATGGTTTTGTAAATATTTTGAAATATTTCTCCTATTTTTCATAAATACATATCCACCCTCTGGTGATAATTCAGAGACGAAAAAACCAGAATGATGCAAGATTTCTTGAAGACGGTCCCCGTAAAAATTGAGAGAAATTTGCGAATCAATTACCTGGAACATACTCTCTTGAATCGTCCACGTCGATAAGCAAGTCGCCAAACCAAGCTCCATTCATGGGATTTGGATCCGCCCAGGAGGCTATCGTGTCACGAACGTTGTCCAAAAATGATGGCGGCGCGACTCCGGGGGGATATGCGTCCCCCTAAAAAATCCGCAAAAAGTAAAGTACTTTTCCACAAAAGATAACCTGTTACTTATCAATTTCACTCATTTTTCTATTAAAATCTTAAAACTTCTGTCCACATTTTTGAAAAGACACCACTTATTCATCAATTGTAGATAGCTCTATTTTCCATCAAAGTTGTAAAATTTAGCTCATATTTCGAAAACGATAACCAGTATTTTATAAATTTGTTTTTTTGTCAAAATTTGAAAATTTCTTGTCATACTTTCTAAAAGATAACCAACTACTTATATCAATTTCATTAATTTTTCCATCGGAGTTTGAAAATTTCTGAAACATGTCCAGTTACGTATCAATTTTATCGCTTTTTGCATCAAATTCAAAAATTATTGCTCAAATTTGCCAAAATATAACCGATCGCTTATCAATTTTACAAAAAAAAGTTGCAAAATTTCTCACATTTTGCAACGCTTCCGCCATCTCCGTGTAGATGGCGGTCGTCACTGGGACGGTATTTCGTCCATACAGCGTTGCCCCGCCTTCGTACTCTTGCACGTCATACTCTTCCGGTGTGGTGACGTAATTTATGTAAATGTTCGCCAATCCCGCCAACACGACTTCATGTCCGGTAACGTTGAAAATGGCGTTTCGCACGCGACGACCCGCCATCGTGGTGAATTCGCCAGGAAGTGACGCCACGTCGAAGGAACCGAGTTGTAGTAGCTGCAAGGAAAACGTATCTGGCGCCCAGGGCCACGGTTCGTTCATTTCGCCGCCTGGAAGAGCGACAAGTTTCGGGCTAAAAAAATGTAAAAAATTTGCAAATGAAATGTAGCAAAATGGTGAATTCAAGTGGAAACTGAATATTCGTAAAACATTGTCAAGACAAAAATTTCGACATTTTTGAACTATAACCTTGGCGACACGGTCACTGTCGGTCGGAAATATGTCGATTTCTAAAATCCCGCCCCAAACCGTGCCAGCTTTTGACCCGGTCCACACGATAACAGGGTCATCGAACGTCGAAATCTGGGAAATTTCTGAAATCCCCGCAACAAACTGCATCTAAAACGGGGGAAACTAAAATTTCGACACTTTCGACCGTTGACCGTCACCTTATGACCTTCAGAGTCAATCTTCAAATTTAAATTCTCCACAAAACATATTAGTTAAGATTGTTTCCCGAAATTCGAATCTGTCAGGAAGTTATCGTCAGAGACGGACAGACAGACGGGCGGACAGACAAACAAAGCATTCCCATAAAGGGGTTCCACCTTTTATAATAATCCACACTTGACCTCTACTGACCTTTGACATTCAATCATTTCATCGGACGGGACTTTAATGAAGTCACGAATCGCTTCCCAAAGTTCCCACTGTTCGGGATCCAGGCCGAGATACGCGAGGCCCAGCGCGGCCCCACAAAGGCCCACGTTTTGTCGCACTTCACCTGAGGTTTCGTTGATATGTGTGACCTTGACCGTGGTCGTGTTGACCCACGTGTGGATGGAGCGGATAGGACCGGAAATTGGGTTAAGGTTCGTATCGTCATTGAATAGTTCGAAAGCTTTGTTGAATTGGCGTTCTCCTGCGAAGCGGCATCTGCATAAGAAGCAACCAAGCGACATTAATTAACTAATTAACCACGTGGAGAATAGGAATTGGTAATTAATAATTAATTACAAGGGAATTAACTAGGTGGGAAATGAAGTAATTAGTTAATTAATTTACCACGTGGGGAAAAGTAATTGGTAATTAATTACCTACGTGGGAAACATAATTATTAGTAGTTAATTAACCACGTGGGGAATAAACTAGTTAGTAATTAATTAGTTGACCACGTCGGGGACAAAGTAATTAAAACTTAATTAATTAACGTCGTGAGAAACAAAGTAATTAAGAATTAATTACAGAAAAGTAACTAGTAATTAATTAATTGGCCACGTGGGCAAAAATGTAATTAGTAAGTAATTAATTAATTATGCAGAATTTTTTTGCAAACCTCGCAATTTCATTGGTAAAGTCCCATTTTGGGCTTATCTCCTCTTCATCATATCGTGTCGAAACGTCGCCCAGATTGCTCGATCCGAAACCCGAGACAAATTTACCTTTCCCCGGAAGTGAGCCAGGATTCATTTCGTAGTCAAAAAGTAGTGCAGCATAACCCTTGCTGTCGGATGTGACTGTGCAAAAATTATTCAAATTATTAGTTTTTGCACACTTATTTATCAAACGTCGAAGAATTAAATTTGACTTTGAGTCCAAGAACTAAAATTTTTATTTTATGGAATGTTTTCGACTAAATTTGTACTTTTTGATCATTGACTTCGCCGAACTGAATTTTGATTCTTTAATTGAATTAAACAAATTTTTTCTAGGTAAGCTGACCCCGAGCAAAAAAAATCTTCTAAAATTATCCAAAATATCGGAAATATGGATACTAATAAGAACTCTTTGATGTGCTAATTTATGAAGTGTCGATATTTATAAAACAATTAATCAACATAAATATCTGTATTTAAAGTTTTGCATATTTAAAATTATTTAAATTATGCTGGTCAATTTTAACGTAGGACTCGTAGACTCATCGCAAAAATCGTCAAAATCCGCACATGTTTGACCATTTCTCCGCTCTGGGAATTTATTTTAAAATTCTGGATGACTAATTTGTAGAGCAGGTTGTTCCCAATTTTTTTGAAAATATACAGTTCATATTTTGACACTTTTTAGCGGAGGAGATCTCAACCTTAAGAAGGCTTCAGAAAAATTGGAACTCGTCGAAACTGACTCAAAATACTCAGCGCTATTCGATTAATCAACTCGCTTACGACAAATTTGTCGTTCATAATTCTAAAATAAGTTTCCTAGAAATGGGAGACGATTTAAAAAAAAACGAGCTGATTTCGAAAATTTTGTGTGTTGAAGTTTGAAGTCGATTTATGAAATATTGGAAATAAAGTATTTTGTAATATGAACTGAAAAGTAGATAGGTGGGGAAGTTGAAGGTTGAGTTTGTTTTATACTGAGGGTAGTCGACATCCGTGAAAACGTTTTTGACCTTTAATATCTTTGGCGCTAGTAGAAATTTTGAATTGAAATTTTTACAATTTGTTCACCTTATAGTCAGCATTATGGGTGCAAAATTTCAATTCTCTAGTGTAAAAAGCAGACCTTCAACTAACCCCACAGTAAAACAATAATGTTTTTTTTGTTTCAGACATAAATTACCCGGTTAGAAGACATGGAGCAGTTGCTGATAGGCTAAAAATGTCAGGAAATAGCAAATTGTGAGCCCATGTCTGTAGTACACAATGCAGTTTAAAATTTTGATAAAAAAATAGCTGGGTAGAGTTTCAGAGCAAAAGTTATAACATCCCCCAATTTGTCAAAATTTCGCTAATTTTTCCCAAGTACCTCCATTACACGAAATTAAACATTTGTAGTCCAAAATCTGTTTGCATTACCATCAGTAATGTCTCCTCTAACTGCTAAAATAATAAACATGAAAAAATTTCAGCTATTGTGATTTATAAAATTCCATTTAACACGAAAACAAACTTTATTCACGCTTTTTTCGTACAAATCCACCTGGTATGAAATGATTTTTTTTTTAAAATGGGAAATTTTGAGTTATTTATGAAAGCCACATAGATGCCAAAAATTTTCATACCACTCACATAAAATTCCATAAACAATTCACAATTCTAGAAGGTTTTAAAAATATTCTGAAACGTAAAATTTATGCAGTTTTGGGCAGTTTTAGAACAGCACTATTTTTTCATATGCAACTATCTCTGGCGCCATTTGGACTAGGGAATTGAAATTTTGCACCCATAATGCTGACTATAAGGTGAACAAATTGTAAAAATTTCAATTCAAAATTTCTACTAGCGCCAAAGATATTAAAGGTCAAAAACGTTTTCACGGATGTGGACTACCCTCAGTAAATGTATTGGTCATTATGGAATAAATGATCGCAGGATATTTTCGCGCGAAAATCACATGCCCACTTGATTACATTGGGAGCGGAGTGAAATTCAATTTAAACCTGCGATTAGTTATTCCTTACTTCCCAATAAAAATACAAATCTCCTCCAAAAAAGTGTAAATTTGACACTTTTTTGACACTCCAGAGTTTGTCAAACTCTGGAGTGTCAATTTTTTTAAATTTGCAACTCCCTGCTCTACAAATTTCTCGTCGTGACTTATTTCAAATTTTTTACAAATATGCACTCCAGATTTTACCACGTTTTGAAGGAGGAGATCTCAAGTTTAAGAAGCCTTCAGAAAAATTGGAACTCGTCGAAACTAGCTCAAAAAACTTAACGACATTCCATTAATCAACTCACCGACGACAAATTTGTAGTCCAGAATTTTAAAATAAGTTCCGGGCGGAAAAATGATTAAATTTGTAGTCCAGAATTTTAAAATAAGTTCCGGGCGGAAAAATGATTAAAAATGTTAGTCAATCTTGACGATTTGACAATGAGTAATCGAGTTCTAGGTTAATTTAGAATTGCAGAATTTTATCACGACTATGAATGAATTTACATACCTAACTGTCAAAACGTTTTTATAATTTTAAAAATCGAAATAAATGATACTTGAAATTTGACGTGGTTAGACGTCAATTATTTTTTTATAGTGAAATTTAAATATATTTCTAAGCAATTCAATAGATAGTACGCAGAAAGGCATGTTCTTATAAATATTGAAAAAAATGGGAAAAATGGAAAAAATGGAAAAAATGGAAAAAAATATTTGAAGTTTTAGCATATTCTCACAGCCCACGGGTTATTAAATGATAAGACATGTATGCTTATCGGCACACTTATAGAGAGTGAGAAATATATTTTTAAAACATTGCAATTTTTTGGAACATTCTCACAACCTACAGGTTATCAAATGATAAGCCATATATATGCTTATCTGTGCAAAGATATATTTATAAAGTGTAACAAATACTGCAAAAAAAACATTGCAATTTTTGGAATATTCTCAGAACCCCCCGACTTATCAAATGATAAGATATATGTATGCTTATCTGCGCAATTTTACAAATAATTACTTACCGAGAGGATTATCCCCCCCGTTGAACGTGATGGGATGCACGGGCCACCAGGTGAAGGCTCCGATGGGCTCGTCCCCCTCGACGGCGGTGAGTTTAAAGAGAACCATGTCCTTATCGACGTCATGCTGATAAGCGTTCCTTTCCGCTTCCGGGTTGTTCATGTAGGCATCCAAGGCTCGGTTACCGTTCGAGTTGAGGAGCTCGCCACGGTTCCAAGATAAGCGTCCGTCCACGAGGGAATCGGCGGCGGAGGAAATCGCCTCCGTTATTCCGTCCACGGTCGCCCTAAAAGTTTAGAAAATTATTGATAATCAAATTTTGGGGATCAAAATTCTAAAGATTCTGACAATGCGATGGTGTGAAGTGTAACCCTCCGATTTGGTTGAAATTTCGAAATTAAGTGGTCCATATCAATACAACCAACATTTCTTCAGGCAGTTTGTGCGATGATCAGAATTTGGCGAAATATTTGAGGTTAAAGTTGAAAAATGTGTAATTTTTAGCACGGGAACACAATGGAAGTTGAGTTTGCTTCCTCCGCCTAGTAAAAATCGCCTATTTTTCACCTTTGACCTCCAATATTTCGACAAATTCTGACCATCGCACAAACAGCTTGAAGAAACGTGGACCACTTAATTTCGAAATTTCAACCAAATCGGAGGGTCATACTTCACACCATCGCATTGTGAGAGGATTTTGATTATTCCGGTTTTAAAAATTTGGTAAAACCGATTTCTGAATATTCCCATTGTACAAATTAAAAAAAACAGTTTTCAATTTTTACCGTTTTACCAAATTAAAAAAAACATTTTCAAGTCTGTTCAATACCGGTTTTCGATTTTGGCCGAAATCTGCTGTCCCTTATGTGCAAAACCTAGTTTTAATTATTTCTAAACTAATGTTCTCGATTTTTTCCACAATCGGCTTCCGGGTTTGGTTGAAAACCGGGTTTGGTTGAAAACCGGGTTTGGTTGAAAACCGGGTTTGGTTGAAAACCGTGTTTTCGATGTTACTATTAACCGGTTTTAAAAATATTGGTAGTACAAATTACAAAAAGTTTAAAATTAAAAATACAATAAAGTTCGATATAGATATACAAATTTTTAAGAAGACCAAAAACCGTTTTTTCAAAAAATTTAAAACTTTTTGTGAACAGATTTTTTTTTTAATCGGAGAAATCCTATTTATGACCAATTCGGTAATTAATTACCAATTACCAATAAGTAATCGGATTAAATCCATACGACTCGATAAGCAGATAAGCATAAAAAGTCATGAATCCAGACACTCCGGAATGCGTGTGGGTCGCGCTGATCATGACATTTTTTTCGGAGAACATTTCCGCCCCGTATTTCGCCCCGAGTCGAGCGATCACTTCGGATTTGATGGTGTGGTCCATCATCCCCATGTCGCAGGTCACGTAGGTCACCGTGTTTCCAGTGTCGATCGACTGCACCACGAAAGCACGGGCGTATTGACGCGTGAAAATTCCGGCCGCGTTGACAAACGGGTTGACATATCCGTTCTTAAATCAGAAAAAGATATAATTATCGTAATTTTGTTTTACAAAATTTCGGAATTTTATTTGAAAAGATGCATAATAATTATTAATCCGGAATTTTATGTATTTTTTAAAATTTCAGAAGTACTTATATGTAAAGGGTTTCACTGAAAACTTTTCAGACAAATTTCGAAATTTCAAGATTTAGGTGATGTTTCGACTGGGAATATTAAATAATACAAATTTTGAAAGATTTTAAAAGAGATTTAGGTAATGCTTCACCAATAATAGTACAAGTTTTCAAAAATTTCCAAAATTTATAAGAAAATATGTAATATTTCGACTGGAAATGTTAAAATTTTTGAAAATTTCGAGATTTAGACAAAAATGGTATGTTTCCGATGGAAATATTGCAAATTATTTAAAATTACCAGTACAACTCCTGCCGGAGGTCCAGTAACATCCCCAATTCCGACCCCAATCTTATAAATGCCGTCCGCATCAGCGGCGCATGTCGGCGACACGGTAATCGCGACCAAAAAGATCGCAAATAATTGCAAAATTGCCATGTTTATTTTTAATTGAACATGAAACTAAATTAAGTTGAATTAAATGCTGTGTTTAAATACTTATTTAAGTGTCAGAGTAAGTGACAATCAAAAAGTGGGACGTATTGCCAAATTATCTCCGATAAGCGACCCGATAAGGATGAAATGATTGAAAGGAATTTTTTACAAGGATTCTTGCATTTTACAATGATTCATATCGATCGATAGGAATCCATACCTGTTCACTTTCATTCATTTGACTGTTAATGAATTTCTTGTCATTTGAATAAAAATAACTGAAGGATTGTGTACTTTCAGATGAATAACTGTGAATAAAAGAATTTTCACTCCTTTCATTTTTCACCCTACGCTTAATACATTGGGCGAAGTATAAAATGAAGTCTGATGAAGTGAAGTGAAATGAAATGAATTTGAAAGAAAATGACTGAATGTGAATGAAAATCTTCACTCTGAAATCCGGATGACGTAAGTTTTGAATGAAAACTAAATTTTTGAACAGGTGTCATTAATAATTAATCATTAATAATTTTTATTCAAAAATAGACAATTTTTGCACAATTTTTCTACAACGCCGCCGCCACCAAGAATGTCGACGAGACGCCGATATATGGCGTCAATGGGCCATCCTCTGCTTGCCGGAAGTATCCGAAATGTCGCATTCGATAACTTCCCACTTCCGTCCCGTCCGGAATCACCCATTTCAACTCGATCCGACGTGCCAACGGGTTCCAGTAAAATCTGGGAAAATTTGTATATCAATTAATTACTAAAACTTAATTAATTTCGAAAACAAAAGCAAAATTTTGAAAGAAAAAAAAGTTTCAATTTTCTTCAAAATCGGTTTTAACCTAATTTAAACAAAATGTTTTCAATTTTATTCAAACTCTGTTTTAACCCAGATTTTGAAACCGATTTTACACGAAATTAAAAAAAATACCTATGTAAATATAGGCACGTAAAATTTACTGTATAATAAAATTTAAGCATTACTTAATTTTGAAAAAAAAAATTTGGAAAACCAGATTTCGAAAAACCTTTTTTGATTTTCTTGAACCGAGTTTTTAAAACCGGTTGCAGACGGAATTTAATCTTTTTTTAAAACATTTTATAGTCCCGTAAAATTAAAATTTTTGGGATTAATTTGAAAATAAAATATTGAAGAACGATGAAAATAAAAAATGCTCAATCGTAGTTCGGAAACAATTTTTACTATAAAAAATTTAAACCCGGGAAACCCGAAAAATCGGTTTTTTAGTCGCCTCACTCACAATGTGTCCAAATCGGCATCCGTTTTCATCACGGTCCACGCCCCATTGGCGTCATTTCGTTTCTCCACGGTTAGAAAGGTGCCCGTCCGGAGGGGAGAATTTCTGGGGGACCCCCCTGCAAAAACTACTCTGACTTCCTCCCCGTAAACGTACTGGGCTCGATCCGCGTCCACGATGACATCACCGAAGTTATTCCCATTCATTGGATCTGGGTCCGCCCAAGGAGAAATGGCGTCTCGAACGTTATCCAGAAATGAGGGTGGCGCCACGCCCTCATCGATTGGAGTGTTCTGCGATAAGATGACAAATTTCAGGGCTTTTTATTAAAATTTAACAATGCATATAACAATTTTTATTTAGAATATCTTGTCATTTTTTAAAAGATTAACAGTTGACAGTTACTTATCAATTTTAGCTCATTTTTTTCGTAAAAATGTTAAAGCTATTTGTCATATTTTTTAAAAACGAGAAAAAATTACTTATCAATTTCAACTAAGATTTTCGTAAAATCTTGAAATCGTGTTTCAAACGGTAACAAGCTACTTATCAATGTTAGCTCATTTTTTCGTCAAAATTTGAATAATTGGTGTCATATTTTCCAAAAAATTACCAGATATTTATGAATTTTTGGTCATTTTATCTTACAAAATTTGAGAATTCCTTTTCATATTCCACAAAATATGGACAGCTATTTACCAGTTTTAGCTTTTATTTTCGTTAAAATTTTAAAAATTCGTGTCAAATTTTGCAAAAGATGACCAGTTACTTATCAATTTTAGTCTTTTCTTTGCAAAACTTTCAAGCTTTTGCTCATAATTTCTCAATGGTAACCAGATATTTATCAATTTTGAATCTTTTCTTTGTCAAAATTTTAAAATTTCCTGTCACATTTTTTAAATGATAACCCGTTACTTATCAATTTTAGCTCGTTTTCCCAACAAAACTTTGAAACTTTCACTCAAATTTTCTCAAACATTTTCTAATCGCTTATCAATTTTCCCATCAAAATTACAAAATTTCTCACATTTTCCAACGCTTCCGCCATCTGTTTGAATAGGACGGACGTCACGGAGGCAGTATTTCTTCCATGGATCGTCGCGCCACCTTCGGACTCTTGAATGTCGTACTCTTCCGGCGTGGCGACATAATTGATGTACATATTCGACAACCCCGCCAACACGACTTCATGTCCGGTCACGTTGAAAATGGCGTTTCGAACACGCCGACCCGCCATCGTGGTGTACTCGCCGGGAAGACCGGCCATGTCGAAGGCGCCGATTTGCAGGAGTTGGAGCGGGAACGTATTTGGCGCCCAGGGCCACGGTTTGTCCATCTCGCCGGCCGCGAGAGCGACGAGTTTTGGCCTGGCGGGAAAAAAATATATAGAGTTCGAAATTTGAAGGTTTCGATGGATTACGGACAAACTGAGCCTTGAGAATACTGATTAGGATTAGAGACTGATCACAAGAATTTAGGGATTACGGATTAAGATTAGAGATTAAATTACACTCTGAATTAAAATTAATTTCTATTTTATGTTTTTCTGAAAGAATAGATTATGCAATAATGAAAAATATATAATTTCTTGGGATTACTGAATTGGGATTAAGGTTGATAAACAATTACAATTACAGATACAATTTCTTGATTAATTGAAAATGATGAATTAGGGATTACTTGAAGACATGAGTACATATATGCATAGTGGTGTATCAAGGATTAAGTACAGAATCTGTACTACAGATTACATTTTATTGCATGATTAGTAAAGATTACGAATTATTTAAAGCTTTATGTTTTATGGGGTTACGGATTAGTTTGTATGCTATATTGATCTGGATTGCAATTTGGATTACTTTTGAACGATTCTGTAATCTAATTTTGGATTATTTTTGGATTAGAATAAACTTAACTATTCGACATTTTCGAAATTCGAAAAACAAAATTGGTCATCAGGATCGCGTACGTCATAGTAGATCATTTTGACTCACCTTTGACATTCGATCATCTCCTCGGACGGTTTCTTAATCAGGTCCCGAATCGCGTCCCAAATATCAGAAAATTCTGGCGGGAGTCCGACATACGATAAACCCAGCGCCGCCTGGCACAACCCCATTTGCTCGATCACCTCGCCAGACGTCTCATTTACATAATCCACTTTTACCGTCGCGCTGTCCACCCACATGTGAGCGAAACGCACCGGACCGGAAATGGGCTCCAGACCCGCGGCGTCGTTAAAGAGTTCGTACGCTTTGTTGAATTGGCGTTCCCCATTGATTCGGGTGCTGGAAAAATAATTGAGTTAATTTGAATAATCGGTGTTTCCGATACAAAGTAACTTGCAAGAAATAACGAGAAGAAAGTGGTTTCTTGCAGGTAAATATTTTGACCTGCAAGAAATACAAGGCGCGAGAAACTACGCATCGCCGCGAGGAATATTTTATAAGGCGCGTGGCTAGATGGCGCATATTTCTTGCACTTTCTCCCAGTTACTTGCACCTCGTATTTCTCCCGTTTCTTAATTTGGAGTGCAAGAAATGTATTTAACAAGCCTGCAAGAAACGAATCATTGCTACACTTCAATTTAGGATTGATTTTCTGCACAATTTCGTGCAAAAAGAAGATAAATTATGAAATTTGGGTTTATTTAAAAGCTAAAATTATTATATGTACGAAAATTTAGTTAATGATTAAATCGCGAAAAAAATAACGCTTAATTTTGCATGAGAGAGAATTGAAAGAATTTTTAAATACATGCACGGCGCTAAAAACTGCTTCTCGCCACTAAACTTCATACGGCGCGTAGCTGGATGGCGTGTATTTCTTGCAGTTTCGTGCACATCGAATTTTGCTTGCTTTGCATGTAGCAAACCCGCAAGAAACATAATGTGCAAAAAATATTGCGAATTTTTAAGCATGTCTAGTCTTACTTTTCAATGTCTTCGGTGAAGTTCCACTTGACCATGGGGGACGTTCGGGGGGAAACATCGCCCAAATTGGAGGATCCGAACCCAGAAACAAATTTGCCCTTGCCCGGTCGTGCGCCAGGATTCATCGCGTAGTCGAACAGGATTGCGGCGTAGCCTTTGTTATCCGATGAAACTGCAAATTTGTACAAAATTAGAAAACGACTTGGCAATCTATTTATTAATGTTTGATTTTTTGCGAAAATACTAATATAAATAATTGGCGTCGAAAACTGTAAATGTAATTTTAGCCTATATTTTGTCAAACTTTCAAGAGACTTTTTTCGTCAAAATAGTTATTTTACGAGAGTTTTAGGTCAAATTGTTATTTCAGGGATATTTTTTCAAAATTATTATTTTAAGAGATTTTTTCGTCAAAATTTTTATTTTAGGATAGGTTTTTGTCAAAATAGCTATCTTTGGGGGATTAAAAAAAATCAAACTTCTATATTTAGGGATTTTTTAAATAATTATTTAATTATACAAGAATCCTAATTTTTTTTTTAATTATACAAATGCTTTGTAAGTAAAATCAATATCTTGATTGTCAAGAAAAGTCTTTAAAATTACAGAAATATTCATAATAATAAAAATGTCGGGAATATTTCTGAAAGTCCCTAAAAAAATTTTCTTTCAAACTAACCTACTTACTTACTTTCAATTATATAATTTTACTGCACAACAATAAATGGCGTTTAATCACGTCAAATTTAAAGAAGATTTTTTCCCTACTCTTTTATAACCGCTACATTGCTAGATTGGTTTTTCCGTTGTAACACGTTAAGTAGAGCAGGTCTGGAGGAGTTATTTACCCATCCTCCCCCCAAGCAGCCCATATAGCACAGCGGTCTTCGCGGCAAGCCTCAAAGTAATATAATCGAAGTAAATTAGCCGAATCATCCGAATGATCCTATTATTTAACACCAGTTTATTTTAGTTTGGCGTGAAAATCATTCAACTATCCAAATTTAATAATTTGAACGCCAAAATAGAATGAACTGGTGTAAAGTATTTGGATAATTCGGTTTCGGTGCACATAGTCACCAGGTCATCATATGTCAAAGTTATGAAACCCCCACTAAAAAAAAGATCTACAAAATCAAGAAAAATGCAAACGAGGATAATGCCCCGACCGGGGTTCGAACCCACGACCCCAAAACTTTGAGGCTTGCCACGAAGACCGCTGTGCTATATGGGCTGCTTGGGGGGAGGATGGGTAAATAACTCCTCCAGACCTGCTCTAACTTAACGTGTTACAACGGAAAAACCAATCTAGCAATGTAGCGGTAATATTTAAATTATAAAAATGTGTCGATATGTAAATTCATTCATCGTTGATAAAATTCATGAAAATTACGGAAATATTCATAGTTAATAATAATAATACAAATGTCTGAATTAAATAGTTACGGATATTTTTGAAAGCCTATACACAGTGCAAAATATTGGGAAAAAATAGTGCAATTTTTGGCAAATTCTCATGGGTTATCAAATGATAAGGTCATTGCCTACATGTGCTTATCTGAAAAATAATTGCTTACCGAGTGGATTGATAGCACCGTTGAAGGAAATTGGATGCACGGGCCACCAGGTGAAGGCCCCGATGGGCTCGTCCCCCTCGACGGCGGTGAGTTTGAGGAGAACCATGTCCTTATCGACGTCATGCTGATAAGCGTTTCTTTCCGCTTCCGGGTTGTTCATGTAGGCATTTTGTTGTCGGTTTCCGTTCGAGTTGAGGAGCTCGCCACGGTTCCAAGATAAGCGTCCCTCCACGAGAGAATCGGCGGCGGCAGAGACCGCTTCAGTCACACCGTCGACGACGGCCCTAATTTTTTTAAAAATCGTATGAATCATTACAAATCCGGTAATAAGTTAAAATATGGTTGAGGCAGTAAATTAAGATTCTGAGAAATTAAATGATTTTGAGAAAGGCAAGAATTTTTGACATTTAATGATTTTGAAATATTCAGCAATTTTGAGATGTTTAATTTTTTTGATAAATTCAATAATTTTTGAGAAATTTAACAAGTTATGAAACTATTTCGTCTAAAAAAAATTAGGGGCACTTGATCCAAAATGATTTTAGGAATTATTTCCAGTGATACACCTTCACACCAAAATTTGGTCGAAGTTTGAGGAAAAATAGTAAAATTTGGAAATTTGCAAAAATAGTATTTCCTCATAAATCCCAAACAAGAAAATAATATTTGTCACGAGTTTTTGCTCAAAAATACACAAAAATTTCTAAACTTGCACATCAAAATTCGCATATTTTTACCTGTAGCTAAAAGCCTTGATAAAATAACTCACTCAATTTTATAACGAACTAGCGGATAAGCCCCGTCTCTCGCCGGGCGGTAACTGACGCGAAAGCAAAGTCACGTTTCGAAGCTTGCGAAAATACAAAATAAATTAAATTCAAGAAATTAAATTTCTGAGTTCTCACCACTCCAGAGTTACCACCCAAGATAATCACCAGGATCACTACCATCAGATAACCACAATCCGAAATTTAGCTTTTTGAATTTGTTTTACTTTTAAGTTCTAGCTATTCGAAGCTTGACTTTCTTTACTTTCACTTCCGTTGCGGAACATTTGATTTTACTTCCGTTGCCGACAGACATTTCCAGCTTATTATAACGAATTATCTATTTACTGAAAATTACGCTAGTTTTAAGCTTTCAAAATTGTAGAAAGCCGAAAAAACACGTCTCTAATTAATGAAATTAATTAGTAAGTCATTAAGTTAATTAATGATTAATTAAATTAATTAATTGCTTACCAATAAGTAATCGGATTAAATCCGTACGACTCGATGACAAGATATGCAAAATAAGTCATGAATCCAGATACCCCGGAATGCGTGTGGGTCGCGCTGATCATGACATTTTTTTCGGAGAACATTTCCGCCCCGTATTTCGCCCCGAGTCGAGCGATCACTTCGGATTTGATGGAGTGGTCCATCATCCCCATGTCGCAGGTCACGTAGGTCACCGTGCTTCCGGTGTCGATCGACTGCACCACGAAAGCCCGGGCGTATTGACGCGTGTAAATTCCAGACGCGTGGGTGATCGGGTTCACGTAGCCGTTCTTTTCAAAAAAATTTAAAAAAATCGTAAAAAAATTCAAAAAACGGTAATCAATAAAATAAGAACTTTATTTTACAGATTTTCAGGATTTGAATTCGGAATTAAATGTTTCAGAATTTGATTTAATTCAGAATTTTATTTCAGAATTTGGTTTAATTCGGATTTAAATGTTTCAGAATTTAATTTAATTCAGAATTTTGTTTCAGAATTTGATTTAATTCAGAATTTTGTGTTTCAGAATTTAATTGAACTCAGAATTCAAAGGTTCAGAATTTGATTTAATTCAGAATTTTACGTTTCAGAATTGTATTAAATTCAGAATTTTACTTTTCAGAATTGTATTGAGTTCTGAATTTTATGCTTCAAAATTTTAGTCAGTTGGGGATTTGATGTTTCAGAATTTGATTCATGGATTTCATAATAAGTTATGGCGTATTTCTTCATCTTTGACAAAACTGCACTGACTAAAAATTGTAATTTTGCAGGAATTCAAATTATTAGTAATTCATAAACTCATAAACTTTGTTAACCTAATTTTAATCTAACTAATATTATTAATTTATAAAATTTCTTGTTTCAGGATTCGCAACTTTACAAAAATATCTAAGTCGACTCATGTTTGCCAAAATTTGACCAATTCACATTCCGAAAAATAGATAGTTTTTGCAGAAATGCAATTTTGAAGTAATTCGGAATTTTATATTTTAAACTAATTAATAATTTAAAATTATTAATTTATTCACGAATTTATCCATATTTTTATTTTTTTCAACTTTACCAACACAACGCCACCCGGAGGTCCAGTGATATCTCCGATTCCGACCCCAATCTTGTAAACGCCGTCGGCATCTTGACCCCTGATTTCGGACGGAATAAAGGTCACGGATAACACCGAAACAATCAAAAAAATTGTGGGGCTCGTCATTTTTCAGAAAGGTGTGTCCAAAACTAAATCGTACAAGTGAATTAATAATAAGTGAAACAACGAATCATTGGTCCTTGATTAACCGATATCTTGATTATTGAAGTGACAATCTCGATAAGCGAGTGGTGACTTGTCAATTGTTAATTCTTAATTGATTTGTTAGATAGCATTAATGTTTGATGAGTGGTTATCATAAAAAATGTATGGATGTAAAATAATAACCATGTCCAGAACATTAATTATCTGTTATACATATTTCGCAAACAGACTTTTGTTAATTCAGGTTAAGCGTCATCTTATTTTGCAACTTTGAAAATTCCATTTATTTTGTTTTGAAGAATGGGCAAAAAATATGTTTGCCAAAACTTATATGACAAAATAGCATAGTTCGAAATTTGTGTAAATTTCATTTCTCATAAATTTCTAAAACTTGCGCAAAATAATTATTTATGCATATGTTTGGCAATCTTTTATTTATTCAAGAGTCATCTTATCTATTTCATTACAAATTCATTTTCTATTTTTTTACAAAATAGAGAATCAAACACCGTAACGATTTTATGACAAAATAGCAACGTGCAAATTTTGTACGAAAATTACTGTTCCTCAGCTTCTCAAGTTTGTGCAAACTTTATTTTTTCCCCAGTTTCTCGAGCAAATTTTTGAAAAATAATCTGGAATTACTTATTTAGTTCATGTTTTATTTACTCAAGCGTCATCTTATTACATTAAAAATTAATTTTTTTTTACAAAATTGTTACAATACTGTAAAATTTTTATGACAAAATATTTAGCCCAATATGTGCAAAATTTGTGCAAAATCAGGTTTGCAAATTAGTGCAAATATCCCCCAAAAAGTGTGGATAAAACGTCATGAAATCAATCTCTCTTCCGGTACAGCGGTCATACAGCCATCCGCTCAGGATGAAGAGTTCCGACCAGAAAAACACGCCGAGCAACATGCTCCCCGTGTCCGCCTTGTAGAGCGCGGGATTCAAATTGACCCAGATTAAGAGCGACACCAGCGCCGTGGTTTGCGGGATCATCATAATCCCGCCGATCAGATTGGACGACCGCCAAGGACACATGAGCAGAAAGACGGGAATCTCATGGACCGCGATGATTAATGCGAGCCCCGCGATTATTGGACCGCTTCGAGTTGGCGCTTGGGCGAATAGTCGGGCGCAAATTATAGTCAGAGTGAAGGACGAGATCCATAAGGCTGAGGAGGAAAAAATGGGGTCATTTTTTTGTAAAATTGTCAAAGGTGTGCAAAATATTTTGGCGAAATATTTACAGTGTTTTGAGCTTTTTCTTCCCAGGGATTGGATTTCCGGGGGTGTTTCGTCCACAAAAAGACGAAAATTTACGTGGAGAAGGTAGCAATCGTACTAAAATACGGGTTTTGTGAAGAAATTAACTTTTTATCGTGGTCAAAATACTTTATTTTTTGAAAATCGTGAAAATAATGAATTTTGACAAGTTAATTTCTTCATAAAAACCTTATTTTTGTACGACTGCTGTTTTTTTCGCGTAGATTTTAGTCTTTTTGTGGGTGTAACAGCCCCGGAAATCCAAACCCTGGGAAGAACAGAGCTCAAAATATTGACAAAACGTTTTTTATGGACTTACCCTTGTTCGCCCAGAGGCACACGAATCGCACCCATTTTTCAAACCCTGCCCCGAATCTGTCCCCCTTGGCGAGAATGTCGTGCCGGAAACGGGCAAATGTTATGGAAAAGGAGAGTATAGCAATGCCTGCGACGGTTGCGTAACCTGTTTAAAATCAAATATTAAACAATTAGATACAAAAAATAATAATAATTCAAACGTGAGACTCAATGACTCGTCACCAAAATTCACACATTTTTAATCATTTCTCGCTCTGGGGGCTTCTTTTAAAATTCTGGATGACAAATTTGTAGAGCAGGGAGTTGTCAATTTAAAAAAAATATACGCTCCATATTTTGACCCTTTTTGAAGGAGGACATCTCAAGTTTAAGAAGCCTTCATAAAAATTGGAACTCGTCGAAACTGGCTCAAAAAACTCGAGCCATTCCATCAATCAACTCACCGACTACAAATTTGTCGTTCATAATTTTAAAATAAGTTCCCAGAGGCGAGAAATGATTCAAAATTTCCTGATTTTGATAAGCTAAGTCATCAAGTCGTAGGTCCAAGAGAAAAAATTTTATTTTATTTATTTGGCACACCTTGGTACGTTTCGACGGGTTCGGTACTCTCGACGAGCATGACGAGATGGAGGACGCTCTGGGGAAATGCGAGCGCTAAACTTTCCGCGAGAAAGATTGACCTCGTGCCCTTCCAGGGACGCTCGTACGAACGCGAACCGCGCTCACGGATGGCGAATATTATGTTGCAGAATGATCTGGAAACACAGGTGGTAAGTGATCTGCAAACTTTGCAAATTTATCAATTTATTTTTGCACTTACAAAATTATCGGCGCCACACCTGGACAAATGCAGAGAAGCCAGATTATTTTACTCCCCTTCCAAACATCGCGTCGAGGAGATTTACTAAAAAAAGAGGAGAAATTGCGTAAAAATTAGCAAATACATTTCTGAGAGCAATGAGTTACTGAATTGCTGAAAAAAATTATATGCAAAAAATTATGGCTAAATTTCCCTCTACAATTAATTACTGAATTAAACATCGGAGGTTTGCTAAAAAATTACGTGCAAAAATTATGTATCGCTAAATTCCTCCCCATACTTAATTACTTAATTATGCAAAATTTTCTGTAAAAAAGATTACGTAAAAATTAGAAAATAAATTTCTGGGCACAATTAGTTGCTTATTAATTATTGAAGATCTGCTAAAAAATTATCTCAGTGCAAAAATTATGAGCCAAATTTCTTCCCAAAATTAATTACTCGCTTATCCAAATTCTTTTCTCAAAGATTTGATTAAAAAATAGTTGCTTTCAAATACTTAATTAACTTCTCCCCACAATTAAAGAATTTATGTAAGTAATTTTTCCCCACAATTAATTACTCGCTTATCCAAAGACCTCTTCTCTAAAATTTACTAACAAAAATTTGCATGGATGAAGATAATTGATTTCACCTCACAGTTAATTACTCAATTATGTAAATATCGGTACCTTGGCAAAATGTAGACCAACATTGTGACCACAACGGACAGTAGGAGCCCCACACACGTGAGCAGCGCAGGGGGTAGGACCCCTGCTCGTAGTGCAAATATGCAATCCCGAGGGTCCACGTGGGTCCGAAAACGGACAGCACGAAGGCCAACACGGCCTCGATCACGGTTTCCTCTTCATGATCGCTGACCAAGTGTTCCGTCGACGAGGAAAAAAGGGGGCCAGCGTCCCCCCGGCTGCCGCGTTTCTTGACGGACGCCGTGGACGCGGAGGTCGACGTGGTTGGGGTGAACTCCACGGCGAGAGCGTGGTACCCTTTGACCTTAGTGGTCCCGTCGGTTTGGGACATGTCTGAAATTTGGGAATGTTAGGAAATCAAAAATTTGAAAAATGGGAAAGTGAAAATTTCTGGAGAAATTGAGATATTAAAATTTGAAAATAGGCAGAAATTCAGTGAAGATTTAACCAGAAATTGAGAAATCAAAAATTTGGAAATATATGTGTAGAAATTCAGTGCAGATTTGTCAAGCGATTTATAAATCGACAATTTACAAATTGAAATTTAGTGAAGATTTATCCAGAAATTCAGAAATAACAAATTTAAAAGTACAAATTCAATGAGGATTTGTTCAGAAATTCTTAAATCAAAAATTTGAAAATAGAAATCCACTGAAGATGATTATTCGTACCTCCTGCAGGAGTAAAGGTGGCTTCTAATATTCGCGAATTTCTGGGTGACGATTTCGCATTTCCTGGGGTCTTATCTCCCGTGGAATTTACGGAGGTGGATTTTGTGTCATTTTCTATATGATTTCAAAATCGTTAAAACCAAGAAATTGATTAAATTTTTAAATTTTCTCCATTTTTACCTGAATTTTGACCAGAATTTGGAAGGAATGTGACATTGTCTTCAATTTGTGACGTAGTAACCATCGCTTGCTCGGATGACCATGGGGTTACCTACACAAAATTCAATAATTCAATATCAAATACCCCGATTATGAGAATTTATGTACATATTTATTTACTTACCAAACTGGTCGATCCGTCGGACGGCTTGACTGAAACGGTTGCGGCCGGAGACAAAGAAATCGGTTTCGTCTTCTAAAACAGAAGAAAAAACATTTTTCTGTAAAAATCTGTCATACAAAAATATTTTTCGAAATTGTATAATTAATAAAATTCATTAAATTCAGAAATTAAATTCCAAATCCTAATCACTATCCAAATCCTACCCGAATGATTGGCACGACATCGCGAAATTGCGAAATTTCACCATCCGAACTTTTGTTATTCTCCATTCTTATGAAAATTTTGATGCAAACTGTCACAAAAGTATTTAGCTTATTATTCGCTGCGTGCGAATTAGTGCAAAAAAGGTGTCAACCTTTTGACCTTTTTCCGTTTTACACACCTCTTGTTCCGGTCAGGTGTGTATTTTCGTCTATTTTTATCACCAACCACAATTTACATACTCCGTAATGAGATTAATGGTAGTAACGAACTGGTGTTTATTATTTAACTGCTGCAGAGTAATAATTTTTAACCATTATTTATTTAAATTGATGATTACTAACTCGAACTTTAATTATTTTAAGCTCCGATCCCAATTAAAGTGTGAGCAAGGCATGAATGGGATTGAATTGCAGTCTGTCACTTCACTATTTAAAAATTAAAATGATTTGCCTGCCTGCCTGCATGCTCGGCTTCCTTGCATGCGTATTAAATAAATATGTATGCATGTAAATGGTAGCTGGACTGGACCAGTGGCCGCGGAAGTGTGGACAATGTCCCCACTGGGTTGTTCGATTTCCGCCTCATCTGCCCATGTTATATAAACCCCTATTCTACAATGGCAATGTCCCCACATGTCCCCACGGCTTCCGCGGCCACTGATTACTTGCACAAGTATAACATACTTTAATGCAGTGGCCGCGGAAGCGTGGGTGGGGACAGAGGGGCAATGTCCCAACGGTTGTTCTATGTCCGCATCATCTCCCCATCTTATATAAACCCGTCCCTCCCCCTATCCTACAATGGAAATGTCCCCAGATGTCCCCACGGCTTCCGCGGCCACTGAACTGGACGATCCACTTCCACTTCTATTTAATAAATACCGATGATTGTGATTGTGAGGTGATGATGGTGCCTTATCGTTTTATGTATGTACAAGGTAGATTATTTTATTATACAATTATGCATATACAGAGGGCGGATATATATTTTCAACTTTTAAATGGAGCACACATATTTCAAAATATTTTCACGTATTACCACATATTTCTAGGTTTTCAGACACATAAATATTTTCGCTATTGTTTGGGAAATTATTCGTAAATCTTTTATATATTTTTTTCGAAAATACATATATTTTGTAAATATTTCAACGATTTGATTTTTTTTGCTCGAGGAAATTGAACCATAGAAAAATCAGAGAATAAAATTCAAAAGTACAAATTTTGCGAAATTCTCATTATTTATGTGATTTACGTAAATATTTTGACGTTCTTTCTTAAATCCAATGTACACCAACCAAACCAAATATGTACATATTAATTATCTTTCGTTTATAATTTATTCTAAACAAAGCAAAATATTAAATTGTGACGTTCTCCTCGACCAATTTTATTTACAAAAATTAATTTCTATCCTGATTTTGGTCACAGGCTTAATAAATCTTGGAAAACCCTGTCTCGTGTCTCATGATTTAAGTCAAAGTTTTCAGAAACATACAAATAATTCTGCTACTATTTGAAAAATGTGTAAATCTTTTTCTTAGGTGAAGCTATGGTGATCTAATGATTAAAAACCTACAGTGCAGACTTGATATAGCCCGAGTCAGGCCAAGTTGTGGTTATCACCCAATTCGACTTTTTTGCACGAAATTTCATTATAAATGAATATTAATAAATTTAAAATAAAAACTAATGTTTCCAATTTAAATTCACATTCTTACATTAGTAACAATTGACAGCATATGTAACAAATTGCGGTTCGTTACGACGATTAAAACAAATCCGTATGGGTCACCCAATAGGGTCTCTCCAGATGAAAATTGTTCCTATTTGAATTCATATTTTTCATTAGGAGCCATTATCAACTTATCTACTAAATTTCAGCTCTATTTGATGAATTCGAAAAATTGGTACGGGTCACCCCATAGGGTCTGTCCAGATGAAAATGTGTCTAATTTCAATGCATACTCTACCGTTAGCAGCCATTAGCAATCCCCACACCAAATTTTAGCTCAATTGGACGAGTTTTATAAATCAGAATGGGTCACCCCCTAGGGTCCCTCTAGATGAAAATTTTTGAAATTTTACTTTATATTCCGTCATTATAAACCATTGGCAACCTCTGTACCAAATTTCAGCTTTCTACGACAATTTTGATCTTTTGGTGCACAATACCCCTCCCACTCCGATGACCCCCACCGGTCAACCACTTGACCGATTTCACCCATCTTCGAACTTAACTCCTCATTTGACCCATACTACATTTGTGCAAAATTTCAAGTCGATCGGATTTGTTTAACGGCAGTTATCGCAAACCAGACAGACGGACAGACAGACAGACGGACATGACGGGTACATAAGCCCTGACTCGGGCTAAAAACACCTAAGTATGCATTTACTACAACGTTCAAAAGTGACAAAACCGCATTACTTTACCATTTCTTAACCGATTTTTGCGAAATAAGTGCCGAGAGTTAATTATGATGGTCCACTTTTGGATTCCAACTCTGGTCGGTTGTGAGCCTACCCATTCCTGAGATATTCTCAAAAAACACCCTCCAAAAAGTGACATTGCTTTATACGAAAAAATTGAGGACCTAAATCAAAAATGTACTATGAAAAAAAGTTTCTAAATATTTTTAGCTTTTAATTAGCTTTGAGATAATCAAAATCGGATAAGAAATGGCCACAATATTCATATATGCAAGTACCACTGCGCACGTGGTGGTATTGCATATTGCTATGGTTCGTTGCTATTGCAAGTATTTTAATCGCAATTCCCTTCGCTTCACCTAAGAAGCCGCCCGTTTTAGGGATCTATCTTGTATATGTATATTTTTTTAAATAAATATTTTGTAAATACCTATTTGAACGACGTGAGACTTTTTGAGACTTTGAGGCAAGTTTTTTTGGCTCAGGAAAAAATTCCACCACAAAAAAATCAAGAGCACTAAATTCAAAAATATTACAGATTTTTTGCGAAAATTCTCATCTTTATGGTGGCCATCGTCCAAATTTTGCAGAAATTCTTATTTTTATGGTGTTGATCGTACACTATTTTTTTCAGAAATATTAAATACTTATTTCCTCGATTTTTCGTAAATACATACATATCCGCCCTCTGATTAGGCATATCAAGGCATGGTCCAATATCAACGTGAGATATGTACATACACCTTTTTGAACATAAAGAGCAATCGTGTTCATTTCATGGTCACACCTTTTGATTCCGAATGGAAACGAGATACTTATCAGCATGTTTTTTTTATTATTGAAATTGAGAATACATAAATATGATAGGGAGTGGATGGAGCTTTTGTAATTTGGCATTTTACACATACTCGTAACTTATTTACACATTGGACAGATTAAATAAAATGGGAATGAACACCAGTTTTGAGATTCATGATAACTCTGAAAAGTTGTAAACTTTTCATGGAATTTGGGTTACAGAAATGTTAGAATTTTGAAGTTTTTTAAGAAATTTTAAGAAATTTTGAGATAGTAATAAAACCATAATTGCAACTATGTACTTACATACCCCCCCCCCCAAAATTACTTATGCACATCCTGGAACTACATGGACACATGCATGGTAAATCAATAAAGTTGTAAACTAAACGAGTACCTTTGTAAACTTTTCATGAAATTTGCATTACAGAAATGATTTGAATTTTTTTTTAATTTTTAGAAATTTTGAGGCAGTAATAAAACCATAATTGTAACTATCTACTTATTGATCTCCAAAAGTTACTTATTTAAGGATTGATTCATAAGTTGTGGCAATGTTTTTTGGTGTACTCTAGCTTTAACAGAGACTCAAATTATTATGAATGAATTGTTGCATATGATAGTCCAACCGATGTAGTGTTAGGGTTTTAGTTTAAAAAGGTTGGCAATTAAACTAGAACATCGTTAGACAAAAAGAAAAACAAGTCCAAGCAAATTTCTTGGTGCACTTTTACAAAAATGCTGCCAAATTGGACGAGAAAAAGTTGCACGACCACCTCAAAAATGAAAATATTCTAAATCGCTCAAATTGCCGTTACATTTCAATGTATGATGCTACAAAATCAGCCGAGTTCAAAAAAATTATTCATCACCTGGTGTGGCAGGCCACATCCAAAGTCATCAAAGCAGTGCCAATAGTTTTCAGGGAACGCTCCTTACGTTAGAGAACCTAGCAGCCAAACGGGTAAAGATATCTGAACAAACTTTTCGCCGATTTAAAGCAGAATGATAGGGGATTACAACATTTAAAAACTAATGCCTCAAGATACATTAAAGAGGAAAAATTAAGAACCAAAATGGGATGCAACTAAATTTGCAAAAAAGTTTAATCCAAAATACTTGCTAGCCGTGACGAAGCGTACATTGAAATAACGCCACTGGAAGATTGCAGATAGAATTTTTTTCTTGCTACAAGTCATTGGGATTTCAAACATGAATGTAAGGTATTTCTCAAAGCAAAATTCACAAAAAATTACCGATTTAGTTAGCATTGGACGAAAATGGAGCAATTTCGGAGCCCTTAATTACGGATAACACCACATCCCTCATCTCTTTACTTTTTGGAATGGGACAAACGCCGATTAATCCTTGTAATAAATGGCCATCGGGAAAATACAGTTTTATTTTTGCCGAATATAGCAACTTGCTACTATAGTCGAATTGTTACCGACTACCTCAAGGAGGAAAAAATCAATTTTGTGGCTAAATTGGAAAACTCTTCCAAAGTCCCCAAGGTAAGAGATCTTGAATAGTTTTGGGTCTAATGCATAAGAGTATATTCAAGACGACCCAATGGATCGAAAACCCTGCTTTAATTCGACGCGTCATGCGTCAAATCTTGAAAGGTATGGCGAGAAAGTCAGGAAAAATAGTGATAGAGTATGCCTGGGAAAACCTGCATGAAATTGGTTTCAAAGTATGAACCGGTGTCTAATTGATTTTGTGTGATGTTGACAATCGCATTTGTGACAATTATTAGCAAATTTGGTAAAACTACAACTTCCCGTTTTGTAATAAACCCATTTCTAAAACATTGCCACAACTTATGAATCAATCCTTAAATGCTGGACAGCTGCATTGTTTTCAATGTAAATCAAGGTTTGAAACTCATGAAACAAATAAATACCTAATCAAAATTGCATGTAAACTTCTCATGAATTTGTGTTACAGAAATAGGTAATTTGAATTTTGATTTTTTTTCTGAAATTTTTAGAACTCCAAAAAACGTATCTTTTATGTATACACATATATTTATTGAAACATACTCACAGCAGCACCTAAATATTTATTATTGCTCCTGCATGGCCATAATTCTTAATTTAATTTTCGTTGCGTTAAGCTTTGCAAACATGATTAAATCCAGACCGGAAGAAGAAGTAGCTAATAAACCATAAAAACTCACCTTTTCAATAAAATCGTCACATAAATAATTGATATCACATATTTATTTATGATACCAAAAAAATCCTGTTCTATTATTACGACCTTCTTCCGCTCCAGTAAAATTATTCCACTGTCAACAAAATCCATAAAAAATGCAGCACTTCCACTATTTCATACAAAATATTTATCTTCCTAACGTGTTTTTTAATACGGAAAAATCTATTCCCATAATTTTAGAAGAACAAACTGCAGAAAAAACATTGCAAAAAAACACACGGCAGAAAGATATTGCAAGAAATGCACAGCGTTATTTATTAGTCCGAGTCAGGTTGTTATTAATTAATTAATAATTGAACTGGGTATACCTAGTACGACCACAATAACTGTTTTTATTTTTGGAAAAATTGTGCACATCTTTTGAAAATAGTTTCTAATTTTGAATGTCAAATTTCAAAAATTTCAAGTCGATTGGTAAAGTTATACGATCGTAATCGATAGACAGACGGGTAGATAAGCCCTGACTCGGGCAAAAAGAACATAATTGTTAAAAAACACCGCAAAAAACTGTAAATATTTAACACGGTGCAGAAAAACATTGTAAAAAAACGGAAGAAAAATACATTTATAAATTTCTCCCTGACACGAACTTATGACTCATGCATCACATTGTTTGATGGGATCACATGCTCCGAAGGAAGAAGACTGCATGCACGTGAGAACTTACGATTTTACCGTGCATTCAACTCAACTTCAATATTTAATTGAATTATACATCAGCAACAGCTTAGCTTTGTCCTTCGTCAAACTTCCCATGACACAAAAATTTGCTTAGGTACTCACAAAACCTAACCATACTCAACTGACTTATGTATGTAAAGTTATTAAGGCGACCCTGAACTGCAAAATACTGGTGCATTGTTTTGCAACAAAATAAGAATCAGAGTCCAAAGATCAATGATCAAGAGTAAATAAAGACGCCCTGAACAGCGCAGTGGCCGCAGAAGCGTGGGTGCGGACAGAGGGACAATGTCCCCACGGTTATTCGATGTCCGCATCATCTGCTCATCTTATATAAACCCTTCCCTCCCCCATCCTACAATTGCAATGTCCCCACGGCTTCCGCGGCCACTGGAACTGCGAAATAGTTTGGCGAATTGTTTTGCAAAAAATAATAAGAAGAATCGGAGTCCATTTGACACCAAGATCAAGACGCAATAAGATTTTTTTTCCTGAAAAATTTTCATGCGCGTCAAATTTCATCTCCTGAATATTAATCATGCTTGAATTTTTCGTAAGCAAACAACTCGGATTTTGCAGTATCTTAAGTGCAAAATTTTAATTTATTCCTGCATTGTATGCTAATTAATCAATCATACAGGCAAATTAAGTTATACATAAATAAATTTCCACTTATTCAATTCCATGAAAAATACAATGCCCTTACTTGATTTTCCGAATTATTATCAGAATGACACGGATTCAACATCATTGAGCAAGTTGAAAACTTCACGTCGTCATCTTCCGAACAAGAAGAATCGATGTGACCCCAGTCTTCAAGATTTGCCAGATTTTGCAAATCCGGCATTTTCCAAGCGTCTAGTTTTCCGGAAGAAAAAGAGGATGACGCCTCCATTATTACGTAAAAACACCCGTGTAACTAAGCCCTTGTGTATTTATATGTATTTATACGTGTTTAGTCACATTGTTCCTCCAATTATAATGTTCTCGTCACACTCGTCGTCGAGTCACTGAATAAACTAGGCTACATTTTTAACACGGCGATCTATGTATGTATCTCTCACGCCATTCTGAGCAGCTTCACCGACATGACAGCTTCATTATATTTGTGCTACTAATGGATCTCCGTGCCTCCTCTTTTTTGGTGGAAAAGGTCACTTTTCAGATCAATGGATCAAACCGGATCAATATTTCCGTCTTTCTTTCCCCATTAAAATGAGACGCCACTTGGCTTGGCGTCTACGCTTACTAATTTGTTTGCTGAACAGATATTAATGCGAATAAACCACTACGTATGCACAAACATGACAATAAATTAATGATCCGTGTCGCAATTTGTCACCGAGAAATACGTCTGTGACACGATTCTTGTCATGGATAAGGATTAATTTGAGTGAAGAGAAAGCAAATAAAGACGGAAAATTGTCTTTTTTGCGAAACGGCTGTACTTTTATTTTGTTTTGGTCTGGTGCCGATGGTTTTGTTGTTGGCGAGGAAAAAAATAAAATACTAATTCGAACGAACACAATACGGGTAAAGGAGAAGAGAGAAAGTACCCGCTTTTATATGGATTCGGTTAATTTCGGTGGGGTTTATTTACACGGAGAGAGAGAGAGCAAGAAATCTCCAGTCCAGGCTGACTCCAGTTCATGCTACGCTGGAGGAGAAAGTGGTCGTGGTCGTGGTGTTACCCGGGTCTTACCCGGGTATCACATCGCCACTGTGGACTTTTCATTATCTAAGAAAGAAACTTATGTCGTTTGGTTCCTTCGTTGTTTCAAAATAATTGGGGAGAAAGACCACAAGGAGTTAAGTGGGTAGACAAATAGAGGCATGATTGGTGAAAATAAGGCTGTGTTGATTCACTAAATGAAATGATTTTTTGCAAGAATTTTGCCATGTTTTTTGCGAAAATGTATAGCGGATGGACAAAAAAAGGTTGCTAATTTTGTTGCCAGTTTTTTTTGCAGAAATCCTACATGCAGTACTTAAATTTATATTAGGTACTAACTTTTTTTGTGGTGTATGAAAATTCCAGACTGTTTTTGCAAGTATTTTGCATTTTTTTTTTACAGAAATGTAGTGGATGGACAAAAAACTGTTACTGATTTTTTGCCATTTTTTTAATGCCTGCAAACTTTGAGATTTTGTTTTCTCTGCAAGAATTTTTCATTGTTTTACAGAAATGCAGCGGATTGATAAGTACATTTTGCTGATTTTTTAAAAAGAAATATTACACATGTAAATTAGTATTATTCATTTGTATGTAAGAGTATGCAAGTTTTGAGATACAATTTCTTAAAAAAAGTAACTACTTCATATTTTTTGCAGAAATTTGTATTAAATTCGCGAATAAACACACTTTTTGTAATGAATGCGAATTTTTTAGTTGAGAAAATTGAGATTTTTTTGTCTTACCTTATCATTTCTCAGCAAGACACCACAATCCAGATGGACAAAGGTAACGAGATCTCGTTCTGATTCCATAGCGTCCCCTTCTTCCAAATTTCCATGAAAAATCTTCCCCGTCCTAATCACTTTCCGACGCGTTATAAACCTTGGAATGAAACCAGTCTCAATTTCATACTCGACTAACTAACTCCTGATATCACAACATTTCAACCATGCATATTTACCAGTTCAGCTCTATAAACTAACAACTTCCGGTTTCTCAAGAATCAATACTATCAACACAACACGCTCTCAGTCTCAAGAGTCAAAAAAGAACAAAGAACTTTATGCAAGTTTCCTTTCTTCGCCATCATTAAATAACCACCCGCATGAACGAATGACTCACTCAGTCGCAACAAAATATTTGCATACGCCGCATTTGCATCTAAATTGAATCCGAAACTGTTTTACCAACTTTTTTACGATCATTCACAAGAGGTTGGTGGGTGCTTCATTTCATGGCGTGTCAGTCAGTCCGTTTTATCTAACAAGTGGGAACGGACTGGGTACGTGAGTGACTCGCTAGTAAACTAATTAGTTGGTCAGAATAATAAAATCGTGGTAGACGAACGTAAAAAAGTAGCGGTATACAGTACAAATGTAAAATATGACCATATGTACCTGTTCATTTTCATTCATTTTTGTGGTAAATTTATATAGTTTTTAATTTACTTGTTTAAAACTAGGTGGTTTTAAATATTTGTCAATAAATACACTTTGATCTTAACCTACGTTAATGATTACACGCAAAGTCCATATTTTATAAATGGCTTACAAATCATACATTTCTATCGACATGAAAATATGTAACATTGGCCAATTATTATGCTGGCGTGGCATATTTTTAGATACTGGATAAATAGGGCATGCCAAAAATGTCTAAACTCCCTGAGGGGCCAACTGTAAGATTTCATTACAATCATACCTGTTCAATTTCATTCATTTGAGTGATTATGAATGAAAATGAAATTCCTGCCAGTTGAATGAAAATGGCTGAAGGATTCCATCATTTCAGATGAATGACTGTGAAATTCACAGTCATTCATCTGAAATTTCTCACTCATTTCATTTTTCACCTATGCTTAATACATGGGGCGAAGTAAGAAATGAAGTCCGATGAAGTGAAATGAATTTGAATGAAAATGACTGAATATGAATGAAAATCTTCAGTAAGAAATAAATCGGGATGACCGACTTTTTGAGTGAAAACTACATTTTTGAACAGATACACATGTGCGTACAGACAAACGGCCGGACGGACAAAACGATCCCATAAACCGTCTCACTGACACCCACCACTTAATAACACGAATTGGCACCACCACCACCACGAACGCTATTCATGCATGCACGGGTAGTTTTACTAGATACGTTTGTTATTCTGCCAAAACCTTCAACTTGTTTGAAGGGTTCAATTTCACTTCACAGAAAACTTCCAAAAGTCAACAGTCTCAAATAAGTATAAAATCGCCCTTTGAAGTCCGTCCAGTCCAGTCCAGTCCACGTCCCACGTCCACCAAAAACTTTGTACCTTTTGCACAAACAAACAAACAAAAGTCTGCTCTGCACGTGTATGAAAATCGCAATCTCAACATAACATTCGCGTGGATATGTAAAAGGTGAAGGCCGTCCTTATGTATTTATCTGGAAAATGAAAATGGGGGCGTCGGTCGAATGTCGCGAAAGTTTGCAAAATTTCTAAACGTCTTTGTCCCCTATTCTTCTTCGTAAAGTTGGGATTAACTTCTTGCAGAAGATTGACAGGCACAAACTTGCGAAGAAATGTGCCTTGTTCGCCTGCCAACTAAACTAAATGCACACAAAGACCGAGAACGAACCTCCTCACCAACCAGTCAGCTTATTCAACGATCATGGTATCCTATAGTGATCTGTATTCGCTGCAGCTTATTCATGTATGGATTTGTATTTATATTCAGCAAAGTTAAGTTAGTTTCTTCTCGAGTAAAAGTATCAAGTTAAGCGGCTACTTAGCTATGTAATCAGCCTGAAAGGACAGAATTACGCGTTGTCCCATTCAACTTATGTATAGCAAAATACGTAGTCTGCTTATCTATCAAAATAGAACGGGGTGGTGTTGACGAGCTTACTTATTTACATGATATGATGACTTGGCTTGAGTTAACTCGACTCCTCCGCTTAAAATTAATCCTTTTGCAGGCAGAGTTGGCGTTTTATGGATTATTTTGCTTCGTATTACAATCCCAGTTTATTATGCTCTCCGATTTTGAGCAAACTAGTGTCAATCGGTCATAAATTTGATTAGGATGAAATTTGCGAAGATGTGATCTCCCAATGGGCACGTTTGGTAGAGGTATTTGCATCCCAAGAGGAGCAAAAGTGCTCTAAAGTCGACAAATTCCACACTTTCCAAACTTACTGGGCGTTTTCTCCTCTTCGGATGCAAATATCTCTGCCAGACGTACCCATTGGGAGATCGTGTATTTCGTAAATTTCATACTAATTAAATTTGTCATCGATTGACACTATTTTGCTAAAAATCGGACAGCATACGCTGGGAGACTTTCACCCTTAGTTTGGAGGAGGACATCCTTTTACTGGATTCAATTCAAATGATCAGGAACTCAAGGACAAGAAGAGTTTAGCTTGGTGGTAAAAAATATCTGCAAAGTTAATCACATCATTTATTAAATTTGGTCAAAAATTAGAAAAAAATATGTAATACAATAATTATATGCCCGTAAACTAATAAAATTCAGATCTTATTGACATCACAGAGTTGGGTATATTCGGGGAAGAGGCGTTTTTACTGGAATGTTGAATCGTTGAATCCATCGAGTCACGCCTTCCAGAATCCACGACGTAATTGAGGCGACGAAGGGGGCGGCGGTTGTCGAGACGTGCTCGGTATGGCGACAGGAGGGATGCGATTCCGGTCGTCTGACTCGTTACGAGCCGCTTTCTTCGTATTATCGTCACATTTTTTGCTAGGTTGCAGAGTAGCCACGGTTCGTTTTGTGTTCGGAGTCGACGTGGCGATACGGACGGGATTCCCGGCGACGGATCGTTTGCTACTTAGCGGACCAGCCACTGTTCGTTTTGTGGTCGGCATCGGCGTCGACGTGGCGACAGGGACGGGGTAGTCAGATCGTCGTTTGCGACGTAGCGGAGCTGGCAGTGTTGGCGTCGGTGATGGAGAAGAGAATACGCGGTCATCTGGAGAAATGTCACGTGGTTTGGAGACCGGGACGACCCGTTTCGTCTTATCTTCTCGTTTCCCTCGAACTTGAGGAGGCGGTGAAGGCGACGATTTATGTAATGATGGCGATGGTTCATATGATGATGGCGAATATGGTGATAGTTCAGGGGATGATGGAGGAAGCAGCGATTGTGAACCTGGAATTAGATACACATTTAAAGTTTATATTTAAATTAATATTACTTAAATTAAATATTTAAAAGTTACAAAATCAAAATTACAAACTTACAAAATATTAAAAAAAATCATAATCACCTTGACTGTCCAAATCGACCCATTCGACTGAGGCGGGGGAATCTGTCCGCTTCTTAGCGGTAAGAATGACGCGATCTCGCTTATCCAAAGGAGGTGGGCACGATTCTTTGGTTTCCTTCCGTTTTTTCGGTGGTGGACTGGATTTTCGCCACGAATTATCCGATTCGCTGGAAGAGTCGTCTTCTAAATTGATGTACAAGGAATTATTCGCCGCCGTCGTGTTAACTTCTTTCATTCCAGTTCGTCTTTTATCGTTTGGAACAATACGTAATATTTGTATTTCGTCATCGGATGACGCGGAAATTTGTTCGTCTACGTCGATGTTCGACGCAGCATTTTTTGGCGGACTGGACGGTGGCTAATTATTACTAAGCTTGACGACATCAATCTCCGAGACAGGGTTTAAACTTGCCGCGCTCGCGCCCGCCGCAGCGCGTCCAATATTGTCGTCTTCATTTTCATCAGGTGACGAAGCGGCGTAACCACAAGCTTGATACAAGGACATTATTTTCGTCACGGGGACTCGTGCATCGGGCCGTCGTAGGCGTGGAAGGTCGTCCCAATTCTTTCGTTTCCAGATGACGTCGTCCCCATCAAATTTGTCGACATCGTCGTCAACACACTTTCCTCGTTTGATATCGTAATCAGAGCCGGTCAGTCTATATTATGAAAATAATTGTGCATGGTTAATCAAACTTAATTGTAATTAAATAATTGGCTATTTGCCTCGTTAAGAAAACTCCGGCAAATTCTTTGTGGGTTCGATTTCTGGTTGAAACGTGACAAATAGTATTGAGAAATCTCGCAGGAAAAATTTACCACAAACCCAGGCAAAAAATTGGAGGATTTTTTTTTCATAAAAACAAGATCACAAATTCCGCTTGTCAAAGAAAACAAAACTTTTTGATAAGAACGAGAACACAAATTCTACTTGCCAAAGAAAAAACAAAACAGAAATCACACCCACGAAATTTCCGCTTAAATAATAATTTAATTAATTGTTAATATGATTAATTACCGATATTTCTCCAGTTTAATATGTGGTCCAGGATTGGCAAGATAATGACGAACGAAATCAAAATCAAACGCATCATTGGGAAGCAATCCCAATTTGTGGTGGTCAAAATTTAGAATGATTTCCTTAAAATTTATCAACTTAACCGTGCAATTGAATCGTTTCGGAGTTTTGTCTTCTTTTTCGTCGAATACTTTGACCGTTCAGCTGAAAACAAATTTTACAAAATTTTAAAACCAGTCAAAATTACAAAATGCCAAAACCAGTCGCTACAAAATTTCAAAACCAGTCATAATTACAAAATTTTCAAAACCATTCACAATTAAAAAATTTCGAAATCAGTCAAAAATACAAAATATCAAACCACCATCCACAAAAACAAAACTTCAATACCATAAAAAAAATTCATAATTTTAAAATTCCTCTCACTTACATGAATCAAATCCACAATTTCATCAGCATAATTGAAATTTGGATAAATCGAGAACATAAATTGAGGAAATTCAGTCATCCCGTCGTCGTCGTCAGGAATGTCGATTCGTAAGATGAACGGTTCCTCTGGCACGAATACGGCGACCGGTTTCGCAGGATGGGCGACAGTGTACGTCCTCTCGGCGACAAGCCATTTCGACGAATGTGAAGTTGAAGTTTTAGGAGAAGGAGGCATGATGATGATGATTCAACCTTAAAAAGATAAGAACACTTCGATGATAACCCATCACAATTTGGAGACATGATTGACTCAGCTTCTACTTTTTACATAAATTACGCAAATTACTTACTTAACCTGGTTAAGTTAACCAGAAAAAATTAGCTCAAGTGACTGACACCAATTCCACAAGTGATTAAAGATTGACTGATTCCACCTTGAAAAGATAACAGCAGTTCGATAATCCATCTTATCAGACATACATGATGCAGCTTTTATTTTTTGCATAAATTAGGCAAATTACTTACTTAACTTAACCAAAGAAAATACTTACCTCAGATGATTGACCCCAATTCCACGATTGACTAGAGATTGGCTGCGTTATCTTCCTTGTCGAATGAGCAAATTTGTCGACGGCAGGTCGTAATTTGTAAATTTTGATTTACAAATCATCGCAATTTTATAAAATAACACGCAGCAAAACAACAACTCTCACGAGGAAAACTGCTCTGAATCCCGCTTTCAATTCTCCAAAAAACCGATCGACCCTTTGTCTCAGCGTATGCTCTGCTCTGATTTTGAGGAAATTAGTGAATTTTTAGGAAATTTTGAGGAAATAATCAATCACAAATTTAATTAAGATGAACTTTGCAAAGGACACGACCTCCCATGCCAGAGATATTTGCATCCGAAGAGAAGAAAATGCGCAGTTAAATAGAAAAACGTAAAATTTTTGGAGTTCCTTTTCTCCTCTTTTGAAGAAATCAATTTTAATTTTACTAAGATTCAAATTTTCTTTGAAGAAATTACAACTTTCATTTTAATCCATTTTAATAATGACGAATACTAGAATAATTGGTACATTTATTTGATTTCCAATTATTTTCACATACAAAACTTGTCACAATTTTCAGGAAAATTAAAATAGCTCAATAATTGATAGATTTTTTGAAAATTTTGATGCATCAAGGGTGACTTTGGTATAAGTGGGATGTAAATTGTGAGATTTTGGAGTAGGATAAGATTCCGTGGGGGTGGTGGAATTCGGTAAAAGTGGGACGATATCGTGGTCAGTGGTGTGAAAAGGTTGGGAGAACGGATTTTGAGAGTTATAAGCATCTCGGGTCTCCCTTCAAGTCGTATAAATCTTTCGCCTTTTACTAAAGATTTCCGTGGGGGGGACATTCTATGAGAATTTAATAATTTTTTGACAGCCTGCCTCCGGGTGGGCGATCAATACAAACTAAAGATAAAAACTCTTCAAAATAATCCAATCGCTGTACAAATCTTGGACACTTTTGCACGAAAACTTGACAAAATTTTGCTCTATTTTGGCCAAAGTTTGATCGTTTCATGAATAATGTGAAATTTTTGCAATGTGTAGTTAGACTATGCTAAAGTACGATGATTAACTGTCAACTGTGGCGTTTACTAAAAATTTTTGACTGCAATTCTGCTCGTAAAATGAACACAATATTTTCGAGGTTCACATTAAAATTGACTCAAAACCTAAAAAAATGTGGTATTAATCTTGACTTTTTGATGGGCATGCTGATCAAATTTTGATTTAATTTTGATTTTACGAAAGATTTCCGTGGGGGGGAGGGGGGGACATTCTATGAATTTAACAATTTTTTGACAGCCTGCCTTCGGGTGGGCGATCAATATAAACTAAAAATAAAGCGACTCCCAAGAAGAAGATACAAATTTTGTCTAATTTTTGCACGCATCAAAACTTGACCAAATTTTGGCCCAAGTTTCTTCATTTCATTTACATATTATTGACAATTTGCAAGTTTTGAAATGCAATCGATGTAAAATGCAAGGATCAAGTTTGCATTAAATCTTGCCAAAAAATTTTCGCACAAGATTGTTCATATAATTCATTCTTGACAATTTGTAATTTATTGAAAAACCATACTAAAATACGATGATTATTAATAACTGCAAAGTTTTGCACACGTTTGCATTAAATCTTGTCAACAATTTTGCGCACAAGTTTGTTCATATCATTCATTTTTGAAAATTTTTGAAATGTATATAAAATGCTAAATTACGACGACCAACCGTGAAATTTATAAACTTTTGCACATCAAAATTTGTCAAGATTTCTTTTAATCTTCACCTTCACTCCAGTTTATTCGTTTAATTTATTATTCCTATTTTGCAATTTTTTGAAATGCAATGATTAAACGAGGCTAAAATACGATGATAACCAACCATTTACTGCTTAAATACTCTCGACTTTCATTCAGTTCGTATAAAACTCGGAAGAAGAATCAGCAAAACTTCTACAATTTTGGATGAAAACTTTGCAAAATTGTTCTTCATTCTTGGCATTCTCGCCATTGTTGCAGTTTCATCAGATATACAAATATCGCGAACTGCAGCAGTACAAAGGCAGACAGAAAGAACAGCTTGAACCAGTTTTGTGTATAAATTTTGCACTAAAACCTGGCAAATTTTGGGTTCATTTTCACATGACTTTGTCAATGTACTTATTCGTTGAAATTCAATATAAACTAAAAATAATAAACTCCATAGAAGAAGAGACAGCTACAAAAAACTTGTCAAATTTTGGATGAAAACTTTGTAAACTTATTCTGCATTATTGGCATTCTCGTCATTTTTGCAATTTCTTCAATATCGCGAAATGCAATAAGAAGAAGTGCGGAAAAGCTTGGGCCAATATTAAATATGTACAAATTTTGCACTAAAATCTGGCAAATTTTGTCTCGATTTTCACATATGTATGCATATGCATAGTGACTTCGCCACATTATTATGAAATTTAAATGGCAATACTAAAATTAGATGACTAATAAGTTATCTATTAAGGTCTTGACTTGTCTTCAGTTCGTGAAATGCGGACAATAATATTTTCAAGATTTACATTAAAATTTCTTATTACATTAAAATTTCTTATTACATTAAAATTTCGAAAACAAATATTTTTGGCATAACGTGTTTCTTTTCAATCATGCAGTTCTGTAATCAAATTTTGGATCAAAGCTTGCAAAATATTTCGTAATTTTCATTTTATTTCATTCATTATTTATACAATATTTTCTAGATTCACATTAAAATTTCGAAAAATATTTTGGTCACAATTCCTAATTTTTTTTCTTTTTATATATCATGCCGATCATATCTTGCATTAAATCTTGGCAAAATTTACCTCCATGTTCGCATCACTTTGTTCATTTTATTCCTGCAAATCTGCAATTTCACCACGCGTGGCGTCATATCGTGAATGCCAATAAATAATTAATGCGATGCTAAAATAAGATGACCAACCATTAAAATACTTCCAAACTCTATTTCCCTCTTCCAATTGCGATGAATATTAGAGTGAAAGCACACTTTTTGTCGCCTTAATTGGCACGTTTTTCCGTCTACACGTGTGCTAATTATCCATCCTCGCAAACCAAGTATATGTATGTACAATTGTATGGTAATTGCACGTTGCAAATACTAGAAAATGTGCCAATTCTATTCAGATAAAAAGTTGGCAAATATTGACTTTGCCAACAGCTATGCACATTCACTCCGCTATTAATATTTACCATTATTAAGGGGGGAAACCCATTTATAAGATTGATATATGTGTCTGTTCGTCTGTCTGTCCGAGCGATAATTCAAGAACGGTTTAATATATAGACTTGAAATTTGGAATATAGACACTTCATATAAAAAGTCAAGTTGGAAGGGTACTGTAGGTCACACATGTCAAGGTCAAAAGGTCACAGAAAGGTCACCAAAATTAAATTTGATCAATATGTCAATTAAATAGGAAATTTAACCCAGAATTTCAATGGTGACCTCCATTTTGCCTTCAAACGTCATAAAAGGTCACTTTAAGGTCACAGAAAGGTCACCAAATGTCATAAATGCTGATAATATGTCATTTTTTATTTAAATCAACGTTTATTTTATCCAAAATATTTTATTTAAAATTTAATTTTACAAAGTTACATATGTTTTCACCCCTTCGTTACATGCGTTTCACAGTTTATTAATACACCACCCACCTTATCAGCACCAGCAATCCTGGAGCTTTTATTGCATAATAGTGTATTAATAATATCCCACTTTCTCTCCATTATTGCAAAAAACGACAGCCATCCATCCTTGTCAGAGAGAAACCAGAGACCAGAAAATTCTCAACTCGCCGGAAATTAATCAATCCAAAGTGAAAGAAAATTAACACTTGTGTCCCAATGCCCCGCAATTATGGAAGGTTATATATTTCGTATAAATAATGTCCCCTCTCCGCCCACCCAATCGCCCAGCCGTCACAACAAACAAAACAAAGCCGAATTGTACCCAATTCTTACGTAAGGAGGTAATTCTTGTAGCAATAGTGACCATTACACGGTGTGCTGGATTTCGTGAAATGCTGGACAAGCGTTTAACATGTGGGTATCGATTTGCGAAATATGAATTTGCATGTGTATGGATTTGCGAAATATTTGCATGTCACTAGATTTTTTGATTAGCGATAACTCATTATGGTCAAAATCACCACATTTTTAATCATTTCTCGCCTCTGGGAATTTATTTTAAAATTCTGGACGACAAATTTGCCATCAGTGAGTTGATTAATAGAATGGCGTCTCCTTGCAAAAATTGGCAACTCCCTGCTCTACAAATTTGTCGTCCAGAATTTTAAAATAAATTCCCAGAATCGAAAAATGATTAAAAATGTGCTGATTTTGACGATTTGGTGATGAGTTTCAAAGTCGATGTATGAAATAAAATAAATTGTAAATAAAATAAATTGTAAATAAAATATTTTATAAGTTTCTACACAACTTTGTTCGAAATGTAAATATTCTAGAAGTTTGACAATTTTCACTTTTTTCGTTCCGTGTTCCGTGTCAATGATTCTTTAATGCGCTTATCAAAATTTGGATTAGAGGAAAATTTGCATAATTTTTCAGCAGTGGGAAAATTTTTGGTAAAATTTTTGTCAAGGTTTTGACGTCGATTTGAGGAATATTAGGAATGATCTAAAGCAAAATAAAAATCAAGATTTTTGTGAAATGTACATTAAGTTTTACATACAGGTAAATAAACTGTATAGTCTATTATACTCCTTCCGCTGATAATGGCTATGAATCATCGAGTGACGTTAAAAATTAACCCAAAAATGAGGATTATTTCAAAAATAAGAATAAAATTAACAATAAACCCGGCCAAAAGTTGGCGAAAGTCAAAATCTCCAAAAAAAAACCTTTTTTATACCATCTCAATCAAACTTTGACCTTCAATTTTTGAGCTGATTTTAACTAAAAATCTCAACGGGCATATTTACATATTTCGCAAATCATGCGAAAAAACGCTTGTCCACGATAACACGTGACCATCCCAACGTGCATGACTACTGCATGTCAACTAGTCAATTCATGAAAATAGCCAGTCGATCGACCATCACATTACACTTAATGCCTTGTTTGTTGTTGCTTTGGCTATTTGCGAAAACCTTGCAAACTTTTGCACTGCACTTTTCCCCCAATTTATCT